ATACTCGGTCTGACTGTGTGCCGGGTGGTGATCACACAACATGAATAATACAAAGCTACAACTTTTTTCGTAAGATCTTCTATCATCTTGTATTTCAGTATTTTACAATTCATAATAAAGTCTATTGACTGGTTTAAGAATGGCGATGTTTAGTTCTATCATTGCCGACTTATCGATGTTCAAAGTTATAAGACCAATGGCCGATATCAAAGGAACTATCAATAGTTTTGAAAATATCTTCGTTTGTTGCTGTGCAGAAACGATTTTCATATAAGAATAGCGAGTTTCAGCTCTCTAACTTGCATTTTCGCAGAAAAAGATCAGTTTAACGCAAAATCGAACTTGATCTGTTTTACAAAAACAGAAAATGTTATTCCTCAAAATAAGTCCATTTTCTGGTTGGTCATTGAAATGCAAGTCAGGAATATGAGTTTTATGGAAATATCTGCTTACATAATTGTACAAAAGGCGATCGAAGTTTAAACTTTGACCTCAATTTTCTAGAAAATTATCCATCACATGCAACATTTAATAGTACCAATGAACGCAGTTTTTATTTCTCTACAAATCCACCAAATCTAAACGTCAAATGTTCGAGCCTTTGGCAGCATTCTTTGCATTTCATTTTTAAGTTTAACCAGAAAGTTGCTTTATTAACCAAGATATGTGTTAATATGAGTTTAGTTTGCTGAATAAGTTGTTACTTGCACATTTACAACCCAAATATCATGTGCCGAATTTGCCAATCGAAATCTAATAAATTGCATTGAAATATTAATTAGTAAGGAATTAATCTGGTGAAAGAATAGTGACCTTAGGTTATGCCAATCTCGAAATATCGAGGCTCAAAGTTTTAAAGCCAATGTTCAAAATCAAGAATATGAGTTTAATGGAAATATCTGCTTACATAACTGTACAAAAGGCGTTCGAGGTTTAAACTTTCTAGACTTAAACCTCAATTTTCTAGAAAACTGTCCATCGAAGATTCTTTCAACAGCACTAATGGATTCAGTTTCCAGATCCTTACAAAGCAACAAGGTGAAAATTTGAAACAAATGCATTTCTACCCGTTTCTACCCATTTGTGTCAGTTTGTGAATCAATAATGTGTACAATTGTGTTAATTGTTTCTTTTCGTAACAATTGCATTAATCTTAGAATTCATTACTTCAGAAACCGAATGAAAAGGTAAAGAACTCATCAAATTGTATCCAGCTAATTTTATATTTAATGTTCCATCAAATGTTACAAGAAAAAGTGTGATGCATATCGGAATAGAAAGGATAATTTGATTAACGCTAATTCAAAAAGTAATTCAATCTATTCAAAATGATTATTGTTATAGATCAATATTGATTTACTAAAATATAAAATTGATAGAAATCCATCAATCATTGAATAAAGATCTCTTCATTTCACTTGATTTTATCCTTAAAACCCATAAGGAAATCTTTGACGGTGAACTTTAATGTTATTAAACTGAAAGTCACAGACTTGGGAATTTAATAAAGACAGATGCATTGATTAATCAGACTTGAATTGCCTTCATTATTATGCACGACTTCACGGTAAAGCATAAAATGTATTGTAGTGCTTTTTATCGCTTAATTTGGTGCTTCTTTTCATTTCGCAAACAAAATGAGTAACATTCTCAAGCCATGCAAATTGGCATGAAAATTTATCAACAGAATTAAAATTTACAATCTTTTCTGACAAAAAAGATGAGCCATAAACCATCAGAATGATCAATATGGATTGAAAAACAGTGTTTGTAAAGAGGTTACTCGATCCATTATACAGTTTTGTCAGAACGGAAAACAATAATGACTTTTATTGTTTCTGTCAAATAGTTTTAAAAATTTTCTGTCTTTTTAAGAGCAATTAATGTTAATTAAATACAGAACGAACTGCTGTGCAAATTGATTCGTTTTAGTACAATCAACCTAATAAAACTCCCAGTTGAATGTATTTTCAATATTGAATTTGTAAACTCTTTTAGTGAGTAAAGTGATTTTAATTTGGAAATAAAATTGTGACCAGAACTCGACTATTATTGGAACACATTTTTATCCTTTTTTTTCTGGTCTCATGTTATGGAAGCTGTTTTAACCGAGAAACCATTTTTCTTGTTAAATCCATTACCAAATATCTCTTGATAATCAGGTTTTGAGCATGACTTTTAAGCAGTTGATGAAACTGATGATGATAACAGAGTTGATAATGTTGACTGAATAACCAGAATCTGAAATGAACCTGGTTTCCATAGTGGTTACTCTGACTGTACACATGACTATTGTATTATTATAGCTGTTTTTTGTTATTAGACAGTTTTGTTACCAAATACTGAGAAATGTGGCTGAATAATTACTTGTTCATTGAGTGAAGGAAAACATTAAGATTGGTTCTGGTGTTAATCAATCCCTTCTTTACCGAATATAAATATTCTTCTGATGGAATTGGCTTTTCATTGTTTATCATTCCCTTTGTTTAAGTGCATTTCAGTGATCAAGAAGTATAATTGCCAATAGATGATGCTGCAGATTCCAAATTGCATTCAATTGTGTTGTGATTATCCAATTTAACATTTTTGGATTCTAATTGTTCTAAGCGTTTTAAAATCAATGGTTTTTAGTTTGAACTGGACTTAAGTTGGAATTGGATTTTTGAAGGAAAAAACGATTTCTGCGTTCTCCTGTTAATCTTTATATAATCTAAGATGTCGGTCAGTGGACTGACTAGATTAACAATGAGCTCCAATCTTTGGTTCAAGGAAACTTGGTCCAAACTCCGTCGAACCAAGCAAATATCTGGTTCCTCTGATATGCTTGAGACTCAATTGAACAGATGTCTATCAACCTTCGACATAACACTCCTCGGTATTGGTCATATGGTTGGTTCAGGCGTCTATGTATTGACAGCTCCCATCGCCAAGAAGGTTGTTGGACCAGCAATTGTAGTGGCTTATATCATATCTGGATTTGCATCGCTCTTAGCCGCTCTTTGTTATGCTGAATTCAGTGTTCGCTTTCCTCGAGCTGGATCAGCTTATTCCTATACTTATCTGGTTTTGGGTGAATTTTGGGCCTTCACAGTGGGCTGGAATATGGTCATGGAGAACCTGATTGGAGTTGCTGTGGTTAGCAGGTAAGGCTATCAATATTACAAACTAAATCAAGAATCAATGATATTTATCAAGCATAAACATATGTCAGAATTAATCAGATTAAATGTCAGTTGGTAAAGAATGGAAGGATTTTCTGGATTGATGAAGATAAATGTTTACCTCTTAATTTGGGTTTTTCTGGTCTCTTCTCTTTTCTTTTCTTAGAGCTTGTTCTGCTTATATTGACTCACTTCTTGGTGGCATCATTCGTGAATATACTTTATCGATGATTTCGGGTTACATTGGATTGAATTTAATCTCTCAACACATTGACCTGTTTGCTGCCGCCATTGTAACCATATTTGTTAGCTTCCTTACTTGTGGAGTCAGAACTACATCTTACTTGAACAATGTCTTTTCCCTGGTTAATATTGTCATTATATTGGTGATTATTCTGGTTGGTGGTTACTTTGCAGATAAACAAAACTGGTCCTTACCTGATGCTGGTTTCATGCCATTCGGATGGAAAGGTGTTTTCGCTGCTTCGGCATCGTGTTTTTATGCATTCATTGGATTTGATTCGATTGCAACTTCAGGTGAAGAAGCTAAAGACCCACAAAAATCGATTCCAATAGCAACAATGATCTCAATGGCTTTTGCTACTTTGGCTTATGTTGGTGTTTCCGCTGTTCTTACCTTAATGATTCCCTTCAATGAAATCAATGACGAATCAGGTTTACCCGATGCATTAGGACGTGTTGGTGCTGGTTGGGCAAAGATCCTCGTCATCATTGGTGCTTCTTGTGGTATGATCACTGTTCTGGTTGGTACAATGTATGCTCTAACCAGAATTGTATACGCAATGGCTGATGATGGTCTATTGTTTTCATGGATGTCAAAGGTTAACGAAAAAACTCAAATTCCTTTGTATGCAATGTACTTTTTTGCATCAATCGGAGCCGTTTTAGCACTTTTTTTGGATATAAATACCTTAGTTGAGATGATGTCCATAGGTACTTTACTGGCTTACCTTGTGGTCAGTGCATCAGTGATCATTGTTAGGTAAGATCATTAATCATTTGCTAACCAATCAATTACATATGTTACAATAATGTTAAGATGAAGGCTTCATTTACAATCTTATATTTTATTATAAGAACATATAAACTTTGGTTCGATCACCGAAAACATTGCAAATCTAATTTTCAGAGTCAAAATGATTATTAGTTAGCTACTTGGAGGTAATTCATTAAACTTCAGGAGTTAGATCAATTACATTACATTGAGTAATAATTGTCTTTCATGTTTTGCAAAATGATGATAACTTTGACAAATGCAATAAATGATTTAATTGAACGTAATTAAGCCTAATAACATTGGAAATTCTGGTGTTTTATGGACAACACCAGATTTTACAAAAATCTTTGGTTGATTGAAAAGCAAGATTCTTGAACTATTCAAGTAATTGCAGTTTTTTATGACTTTTCTTATTGTTATGTCAATAGAATCACAATTTAACCTGAAGCAAAAATGGGTTTCAAATAATTTAAAGCAGATAAAAATGTCAACAGTTAAAGATTCAATCTGTTCAATTGTTTGGTTGTTTGATATTGACAAATGTTTATATACTCTAACTTATTTATAAATCAATGTATGAGCATTTCACCAAACTATCCATGATTGATGAATCGAAGGACTGATTAATTGAGAAACAAAAAATGATTTATTTCTCCTTTTCTTGTTCACTTTCCTAGATATCAACCAATGGAACCAATTCATCAACAATTAACTTGTGATTTAGATGATCAACAAGAGCTCAATGAACTGTCCACCGAATCACCTCGAAGATCAATTAATGATGATCATTTTCTATCTTCATCCATCTTCTCAAAACGAGGTGATTCCATCAGTAGTTCAACCAATTCATCGGGTTTACTCCAATCGATTCGAGGTTACTTTTCAAGATTACGACTTCTCCGTTATGCTCCTCGCTCGATGCCCACAATTTGCGTCTTCATAATGGTCAAGGTAATATTTCTTCTCTGTGCTCTTGGACCACTTTTAATCAAGGTATGTAACCCTTTAGTTGATTGAATTGTCACTCATTTTGATTGATTGTGTTGAGAGAATAAACAATTTAAGTTCAACAGTTATCCTTCATCCAAGCAAAAGGTTGATGTGAAGAGAAATCATTTTTTGTTCATTTCATGTTTCACATCATTTCATATGATTTACCTTTTATTTTGAGCAACAACCAACAAAAAATGTAAACCTTTTGACAGCAACCTTTCCCTGTTGAACTGACAACAAAATCCTTTTCATATTTCATCTTCGTCTGTCCAACAAACTGAATAAACTGTTTTCCTCAATCTTTTCAAATAAAGAGAAGAAAAGACGAAAATCGATGTTAGATCAATTTATCCCCTGAGACTGAACCTTTTTTCCTTTCTTCATTTTCGCCATCTTCATCTTTCTTCTCCTTATTACCAACTAACAGAGTATTAAATTTTCATGATAAATCCAATGATTCTAAAAAGCTTTAACATGTTATTCAGACAGTTTGAAAATAATGTTTACATCGCTTCACCAAATTAATCATCTTTAATGGGATAACCCGAATGTTTGTTAATTTCAATAGACGGTAATCACATTCAATTGTTAAATCATTGACTTTCTAATCAATCAGTTTTAAATGACAAAAGTTAACAATCCATTTATGAATTCACTTCACAGTTGAAACATTTCTTTCAGTTTCTTATTTTCTGTCAAATCTTTTAAGCTATTTAACTTGAACACTCGTAAGGCTCAAGAAATGAACTGATTGACTGAAAAAAAATCATAAAAATCTCTAGTTATTTTCAAAATGATCAAAATATGTAAGAATTTATTTTCACACAAAATCTTCTCAGCTTTTAAAGCTTACATTCAAGTTTATTAATATTGAATAATAATGTTTGTAAAGTTGCTCTGAATCATTGGTGAATTCAATTGCTCTGAAAATTTGATTCCTTAAATGTTAATCTAACTTGTTTATGATTTCATGAATGAACACTTTCAAGCCTAAATTGATTTATTGGTTTATATGAAATAAGTTGAGTGTTTGATGAATAGAGGAAAGTTTCCAGAGAAAAGAAAATATTCTCAATTTTATTAATATTTCCATTCTTTACCTGCATTATAGGCTTCTGAGAATAATAAACTTTGGCTGGGAGTTATTGCTATCTTAGCCATCATCTTGGCATTATCCTTTGCTATTATTGCTCTTCATGAGCAAAATACATCATCATTACGTTACAAAGTGCCCTTCGTTCCCTTCGTGCCAACCCTTTCCATCGTCTTCAATGCCACCCTAATGACAAACCTTCAACCCTTGACCTGGCTTCGGTTAATTGTTTGGATGACCTTTGGTTTTATCATTTATTTTATTTACGGAATCAAACACAGTTCCTTGGATCCAGAATCAAACAGAGTTGCTACCAATGTTAGGAATTGGGGTTCACTTGATGATCAGGAAAATCTGGCCGATAATCGGGTGGAAACTGGTGACTCGATGTCGATTGGTTCGGCTTATTGAGGTTGGCTTCAATTTCATGAACAGATTTGATAAACATTGAAAATCCATCCAAAATAATGACAATAATCAATTTACGTAAAGAGTAAAGACCAAAGAAACGAGAGGAAAAAGAAAATGAATTTACATTGATATTTTTTCCATTTGTTTTGTTTCTTTTTTGTGCTGCTTATTCATTTTCTCATTCAAATTGCCAACAATTTTTTCAATTGAAATTTTTCAACGAACTGTTTGATTAATTAATCGCTGTCGTCAATTTGAATCGAAATTATAATTCTGAATGATAATTGTTTCATTGAATATTGAACATCAACTAATCAGTTTATCTTAATCCAAAGAAACTTGGAGTTTACGTTTTCATAATTAATATCATCATTTGACTCATGGTTCAATTAATTTTATTTAAAATCGTTTTAAAATTGAATTCAATGAACTACATTCGTCTTGTTTTACAAACAAAAATAAAATTCGCCCAATACAAGTGATAAAATGATTGCTTCTGAAGTTATTTGTTTTTAGAGTCGATAGACTTTGCTTTTTTCAAATATTTGCTGTAAAACATGTGAATAAAAAGGATAGCATAAGAGATGTAAGTAAGGTTGACGCAAATATCATGAATAAGATCCATTTTACATGATATTCCAGTTATCCGAGCATAAATCAAGAAATTACTAACAGCACAGCCAATAAGCATTTGCAATATTTGGATGATGGTCACGAAAAGAGCCACAGGCTTTGGTATTTTGACTCCATAAGCAGCAAGGGCGAAGTAAGTGTACATGAAACTGTGAACAAAAAAATTCATCGAAATGGTCCAACGACTTATGGGTAATCCACTGTGCCAAAAGAAGAAGGCCCACAAAGCAGTCAATGCATGATGGTAAACATGAAGAAAGGTTAAAGGTTTTTTACGTAGGACAAGGAAAGCCGTATCACCAAATTCAATTAGTTTAGACCAAGTCCAAAGCCAATTCCAGAAAAGGACTTGTTCATTGTCAACAAAAGTATTGTCACAGACAGCCTTGTATAATCCTTGATTTGATAAAACACTTATCATCTCAACAACAGTTACTCGTGCACCAAGGATTGAAAAAATAGCTAATCCAAGATTCCAGCGAACTAACTGTTTCCTTAGATCAAAAGGTGAACTTGCTGTCATGTAAGCGGCTCCTAATCGAACTGATAACAGGTATAATATTATTAGCGCGTAAACAAAAGTCCAATTTTGGGATTGCCATTGGATCCAAGAAGATGATTCCCATGGAATGAAAAAGGGTAGATTTGAAGATAACGTAGACATTTGATAATGGCTTATTATTGATACTTTACACTTTGAAACACTTTCGTCTAATGATGAATCTTATTGTATTGAAAACTTTTACAACAGTCGATTAAAATGTGAATGGGAAAAACAGGTTCTTCAATGCAGTGCTTTGGTCGCAATCTTTGAAACAATCATCGTGAGCTTCAGAGATAACAAGGCAAGGCACAATCGATTAAAAATTAGGAGAAATCGCATAATTTTTGTGAAATGACAGTAATTTAAACAGTTAAGCTTATCTTGTTAAACAATTAACGCTAAAAGTACAGTTTAAAGGAAAAAGATTCGACGATTCTCCTAATTTTTAATCGATTGTACCTTGTCTGAGCAATAATCAATAAAGCATGGAGTAAAAGAGTTAAAAGAAACAGCAGTCCAAAGGATAACGAAAGTTAAACTTATACCCACTGGAGGACGCTTGATAGGGAAATCAAAGAAAATTGAGAAATGTTCATGAAGAGTTAATTTTTATAGTTGATAATTAGTTGACTTCAACTGAAAAGTCTTCAAACGGAATAATCCATTGAGTATAAGTTTGAATTTGAATTTTCGTTTGATTGCAGTTTCTTCAACCTTACTCTTTGCAATAAACAACTGGTCATAAAATTTAAAATATCCAACTGAATAAGAACTATTGTGAGATTAAATTGACAGCTACCAAAACCTTCTTTCCTGGTTATTAATACTTATTGAATATTTGAGACAACAAAAGTTTTTGCTCATATTTCCTCGTCCATTTTATTGTCCTGCTTTTTTGGTGTCTTATTCTTCCATGTTGGCAAACCATGAGGAAAATATTGAAATATTATTACTTTGATTTTACACTTATGAGTGATAATCACAATTTAATTCATGCTAATAACATGATGTTGCAAAATGTAAGCAGCAAAATTCATACGAAAATAACAGAAGCAAAATTTGGTTAAACTTGTTTTGACGCAAACAGGAATTATCAATGAAAATTTTCTTCAAGCTTAAACATTATAAATTGGAAAGCTATTTTACAAATTTACTGATTCACGATCAAAAATAGACATAGATAACATTCAATATCAATACTTAATTAATTTAAATCAAGAGAACTCGAAAAGTGAAAAAATATTTCATCAAAATACTATTGTCTTTTGTAGTCTTTTATTTTCTGGTAATTAACCCAATTTCAAGTTGGTAAATTTTCTGGTTAATTTTGTGCTGCCATCTAGTGTTTTCCAATAACAGCTTGAAGCTGGTTCATCTTAAAAATGATTCACTCAATGATGACAAAATGTTGAAAGCAAATTAAATACAGTATTGAGATACAGTAATAAATATACGATTTAAACTTTACGAGTATTAAGCCATTTTTAATGAGGCCGATAGTTCAGATTGGACACATTGAAAATAGCTCAGGGAATGATGTGAAAAGGTTCACAATGTGAAACTGTTTACTTTGTGAGTGTCGATATTTTTTCAGACTTTAATATACATCGATTGTTAAAGTGAATGGTACCAGAATCGACAGACTGTATTATGACGGACTTTCATATGGCTACTTTTATCATCAATAAAATTATTTTATTGTTTATTTGATAATGAAAATGAATTTCAGAAGCCAAAATTCCAAAAGTTTAATTTAGTTCTAATCGCAAGATTATTAATTAATTACAATGAAGCATTGAAACAGTCTTTTTGTTTCTTTGTATTAAATGATGGCACACAAATTTAGACTTGGTTTGAAATGAAATGCGCTCAACTTGATTGACAATGAAGATGAAAATATAACGCAATAATTTATATCTTGAGCTTAATCCTTTTCTTCATCTTTTAAGCCATGACAAGTGAAGCTGATTGGCATTGCTTTTCACTTTCAATCAAAGTCATATTTTCGCAAAATTAGTTCTAAATCTACTTGATTAAGTCCAGATAACATGAATCTTAATCACTAAACAGATATTTACAAAAATTTCAATTTAAATACCATGTTTCTCAGCCAATCAGTCAATCATTTAATTTCAGTCGTGCCTTTGTTCAACCCAAAGCTGTCTAAAAATACTTTATATTACAATATATTAGGTTGATAAGAGAATTTTGCCTGAAAACTGAATTCGAATCAGATCCAATTCTTGAAATTAAATCATTCTATCGGTGAATAATCACCATAAACTTCAAATGGTTTTCACCAGGAGTCAGGTAATACAAAAATCAATGGGAAAATCGACTTTGAACGAGAATATCTCAAGAACGCATCATGTTCCATCATGACAATTGAATGTGGTTGAGTATAACTGTATCCATGAAAATTTTCGATTTTGTCAAAATGTTCGTTAGTTACAAACGTTCAAAAGTTGAATGACGCTCAGATTGTTTCTAACGATTTGAGTCAAATTGCTGGACTTCTTTGGTTAAATTCAAATATCAAACTTATTGAGTGAACGAAATATCGAGTAATGGCAAATTTATCCATTTTATTTCCAATGAATTAAACTGATTTCCATGCATCAACAAGAAACCAAAACAGGTCTCCTTAAACAAATTCAATGAAAAAAAGTTATCAAAGTTTTTATCAGAATTAGTTTTGGTGACAAAACGAAGAAAAGATTGAATGCAAATTGGCATCCACTTAAGTCAACTCTAACTTTAGCACATTTCGTGAATACTCTTTCCAATATAATTGAAGTCGCCATCGAGAAAAAAGACTATCTAGCTTAAAGTATCCTTTTGCATCGCGTCCAGGGGAGTTCTCTCATTGTCATCTGAGTGATTTTGTCTCCTTCTTAAAGAGTAAGGATTAGTTCAAGTCCATTATCGCGAATGGCTTCTGTTGCTACACCGAGTAAATATGTTTTAAGGCTCATCAAAAGGTTCTTTCCTGAGGCCGTAATCTGCAAGCGTAATTGATTAGATGAGAAACAGAAGACAATTGAAACTAATCGAAACTAACCTCACTGAAGGTTGGCTTGACCACTTGACTTTTGGATTTATCTAATACATATGTATATAAATTCCCATTGCAACGGTTACAATGTTTAACACTTCGAACTGTTTCGTTATTCAAAGTATTAGGCCAGTTTTTGTTTTACAATCAAAACGAACGTTTATTATTCTATTTTGATGAAATAATTGAGTACAAAATGTTGTTGCATTGAAATCAGTCGAAGAAACAAACTTGATCTTCCACTTTTTGGGCTAATTTTTGGTCATTTTATGCCTCAATTCTTTCAAATGCTCATGTTAATCTTTACCAATTTTCAAAGAAAAAGTTATTAAATAAAAACTGAGATCTCTAAACTTTTGGGTAAACAATCAACAACTAACATCAACTGAACAAACTTTGATTGAATTGTCATGAAACATTAATCGAATAAAATTCTTCATTTATACGTGAATAAACAATTAGTTCATTGACAGCTATTAAATCGAAAGTATTATGTAAAATGAAATAGAAGCTCAGTCTATTGAATCACTTGAATTGCGTTCAAATTGACTATTGAGTCTGTAAATTATTCATTCTGGTACATTCGTCGAGGTCTGCATACAAATTGAACGTGTAGACAAATTATTTGAAATTTCAATGAAAATATGTTAAACAAAAATTAGGTTTATGCGACTGCGAATCGAGTATTAAAAAAACGTTTATTTTGGATCATCTTTTCTTCCTCAATCTACACTTTACAAACTCAACTAGAAGCTGATTCCTGAGTGAAAAGCAAAAAATTTGGATAACAACCGAGGTTTTGCTATTATTAGTTGATCGCGCATCTTTCAGGATGTTGATGATAAAGATTTGGTTTAGGATGCTGCTCGTGGTGATGATGATGAAGACGAATAGGAAGATGAAGAAGGAGAAAGAGAGAAGCGAAAAAGGGCAAGAAATACTCATCTTGTCTTCCATTTCTCCCATTTCCATCACAATCAAACAACTCAAATTAGTTCCTAATCTATGTAAAAAGACGACTCTGGAATATACTCATGTTAATGACATGGGCTTTATTTGTGAATGTAAGTCTCTGAATCCTGTTCCAATCGAAAATTAATTACCTTTTCTTGATTCCTTTCAGTCCTTTAACTGTTAGCCTTAAACTTAAATCTTACCAGTTACCTGTTAATCCCTTAAACTGATAAAAATTTCAATTTTCAATATTTTTGTTCATCAATGAAAGTAAAAAAAGGTTTATCTAGTGGCCAGATTATGTGATTGTATTAACAGTTAATCAACAGGTTATCAACGAAAAACAAAAGCTAAATCGGAGTTTACAGTTTAATTATAAAAGTCTATCTACGAACAATTAAACAGGTTGTTACTTCAATCTGCAATTGGAAATATGATCCATTGTAATGCTCAATTGACTCGACAGTAAATTGTAAGTAGTTCTCATACTAATCAACTTGTCCAATTTAAATGATAGATGATAAAAGACTAACCTTAATTTATTTTTGCCAAGCTTGAGTCTTGTTTTGGCAATTTTTGTCTAATAATTTTGATTAACCTTTAATACTAATGATTGAAAGAATTAGCTGAGAGATTCAACAGCAATTATTTACTTGATTTTTGGTTCACCTGATTAGCAAGATTCTTGGTATTTGTTCTGGTGCGAGAATCTGATTTCTGGTTAACAGTTTTGGGTTTGATTTAGACTATTTAAACCATAACTTGGTGAGCTTAATATTTTAAAGAAATGACAATTGAGGAAAGAAACAAAACCCTTTCTCATCAAGTTGGCAATTATTTTTAGCAGCTACAAGTGAAATTCAAGATTCAGCAGAAACATCATATCGCATCCTTAGACTGGTTTCACTGTTTAGATGTAAGGATAACCTTAAAAATGTGTCACCAATTAATTAATCATAAACTGCGTTGGTTGATTATCCTTCATCATTTCCTAAACCATCTTCGATTATTTCAAGTTGATAGGTTTATGGAAGACACTAGAACTGAATAATAGATCAATTTCAATTTGATAGTAATTGAAATGTTATATTAGCCGAATAACGTTGATATGATTTACTTTCATTGAGAAAAGTCTGAAATAGCAATTTTCAACTTTTACAGTTTTCTTTTTAATGACACAGGGGCAACTGATAATTCACTTAAATCAGCTGTAATTTGGTGAAATGAAACATTCAACTGGACGTTAACTGGTTAAGTTAAAACCATTTAACGAAACAGTGAATTTCTGGAAAAAACAAAAATCAATTTACGATTGCTGGTTTAAAATAAACAGTCAGTAAAATGTAAATTGCATGTGTTAACGATCCATGATTTATTTGCCATGTTAGTATTAGATGTCAGTAATAGATGATAACTTGATTACTGCATTACACATTTGTACTTGACAAAAATATAAACACACCTTAATTGCTTTGTTTCAATTTTTATATCTTCGGTCAATTAAAAGGCATTAAATTGGCTTTTCTTTCGGTGTAATCTTTATAACCTTTTCGTTAGTGTGATTCATTCAAGGCCACGATAATTGGTAAATTAAATTGAAAAGCAAATGACCAATTGAATTGATTCAAATCATATTCACGTACAAAAGATGTTGGCTATTTTCGCACCTCTTTGGATTTTTCAGCTTATCTCTATCAAATACACTTCAGTATAAAGAATAGTGTAATTATAAAACTGTCCATCAAAGAGTCCAGGAGAAAGTGAATATTGTCCATTCAGAATTTTTATTCAAACTCTTCGGTGCTATTTGAGTTAATGGCGAAAGACATAAAGAATTGAAAAGTAATCATCCTTATCAGATACCATCAAATCCTAAACCAAATTAATGTCACTCATATAATTATTCCGATTTGTTATGGTTTGTTTTGATATTGTCACGATTGGTTTCTCAATCTCTTGTACATTTACGTCCTCTTTTGTTAACTTGAAACCACTGGTTAGCCGTGATTCCTCGCTTGGTTTATCAGGAATCGATGATTTTTTCAGAGTTATTGAAGTAACAATCAGTCATTATTAACAATCAGTTAGTCTCAATTTCTTCAGGAACTGAAATAGGTGCTTTTAGTTGAACAGAAGTAACTTTCTCAGGTTGACTTTTCTGTTCTTCCTTTTTCGGTAACTCGATTGACTCAACATGTACTGGAGTTTCATGCTCTTGTTGAGGTACAATAGATACTTCTACAGGTGATTCTTGTTCTTTTGACGGTTTTCTAAGTTTTATCGTATCTATAGTTCCATCTCTGGAATAGTTAATTCAACTGATTCGATTTTTACCTCATCTTTTGGTTTTTCTTTGGATGAAGTTGGTTGTTCAGTCCCAAACATTCACTTCTGGTTTTATCAATGATTGTTTACGATCAGGTATTTCGATGATCACAATGTGAGTAGCCTCGTCTAGAGTTTCAGGAACATTAAAGACAATTGGTTTTCCAGTTGTCTCAATGGACGCTGATTCGATAATTTCTTGTTTCTTTTTGATTTCCTTCAGACTAGTTTCAATAGGATTTCCCGAATCTTTTAATCTTTTGACTGAACAAACGAATGAAGTTTGCAAGGGATTTTCAAATCGACAACTTCATTTGCTAGATTGAACTCAACGTCTATCATCCATTTTTCTTTCATGAAGAATGATCATCAGAATCATTGAGAAACTTCAAAGCTTTCCTTAATCTGTCTACTTCCTGAGTAATATATATTGACCTTAGTTATTCGAATCAATGATTTTTCTCGTGGAAATTTCTCGACCCATCATGTAAAAAAATCTCTAAAGGAAAATAAGATTCTGATGCTGGCAAATTTCAATACTAACGAATGTCTGTTGCTCTTATAAATCAGAGTTTATGTATCATTACATGGATAAACTCAACCTCGTACCATTGCCGTCATCCATTAATAATCGTGAAGGCTTAGCTCATCATGACAATAAAATTGAAACAAACAATTGCGGTCTGTTATGTTTTAGTTTAGCATTTTATATTGAAAAATGAGCATTTAGAAAGATAACGATTGATAACGTAAACTAATCATAGTTGATCTAAAATTGAAACTATGAGGTACAACAACGCAGGTATCATGAAATACTAATAAATCACCATAAATTCAATTTAACAGTTGAGTAAAAGTGATAATTGATTTGTTGACGATAAGAAACCAATGCTTTCAGAATGAATAAAATAGTCAAAACAAGTCAATATTTTTGTCCAACCAGATTGAAGCATTTGACATAAAGCGATATTTTAAAATCTCGTCTGACAATAAAGCATTAGTCATATTTACCTGATTATTGCGTCTTTTTGTAGTTTTTTCAGCCGATAAACCTAAAACCTTTAGCTAATAGCTAATGTTGCCAAAAAATAGATAACCAAAACTTGATGTTCAGCTTTAACCGTTTTTTGCTACATTTCATGTAAACAATTTGGTGTACTCACTTAGTACTGATGATCGTGAGTAAAATCTGTATACAGTTGGTTGCAGAAAAAGAGATCAAAACAAAATAATTTCCAATCAGTTTTGCTCCGAACTAAAAATTGGAGGTTAACTTTGGTGAAAGGATGAAATGAGATGAGAAAGTATTTTGCGTTGGTGAGATAAAGGGAGAAAGAAAGAGAAGCAATAATCCAAATGAGAGAATCTGTGTCATTATTAGGAATAAGTGAGAAAGATGATGAAGGAAGATTGGGGAAAATTTTCAGGAAGAGATCAGAAGAAAGAGAAAATAAGCAAAAAGAAAATCAGAAGAAAAAAACAGAAGATAAGAAAATTTGAAAACTGTCTCTGGAAATCATCCAATAACCTATTAGGCTCATCCATTTGCTGTGGTTAGTAAAAATGTTACCGTTAATAAATGTCTCACTGGTATTTTCATCATCGTCACTGTTTTTATCTTCTTAAACCTTTGCCTATTTTTATCCTTATTATCATCATGTTAACCCTGTTAATCTGTGAATTTTAATTATTCCACCTATTAATTACTTATGTGTTTCTTTGTTTGTCTTTAATGTATCAATTATTTAAAGGTGGCAGCCTTTTTATCAAAGAAAAGGATGGAAAAGCGGAGAAAGATTGAACCCTTTCAATCTTCCTTGACCCATGGCGGTAATCAAAGACAAATGACATCAATGTCAACCTCATCTCGGACATTTACAATAAAATCAACATCACAAAGGTATTCAAGTGATAGCCCAATGGACAAAGAGGTAAATCTCTCACATGACAAACACTCAACGGTTTTTTATTTTCAATTTTCAATGATCACCTGATTTTGACTGTTTTTTGTTTTAGGGCTTTGATGTTGAACAATTTGAAAATGGACTTTTGAATAACTCTTCGTTTCGAGAAACTTTAATTAGCTCAATTAATAATGATGAAAGATCTCAGTGGAACAAGGAAAATGAACCCGATTCATTTAGTCGATCCCATGAGCAGCCTAGAATGGCTCCTAAATTAATTAGTAAACTTAAAAATGGTATAATTTTGGAAGGATCTGATGTTACATTCCAAGTGAAGTTAACTGGTAATCCAAAACCATTAGTTTACTGGTTCAAGAATGGTTTACCATTGGTTTCTTCATCAAGGATTAATTGCTGGCAGCAAAAAGTTGATCAAGGTATTAATGGAAATACAATAGTTACCATTTTACACATTCATATGGCATTACCAGAAGATTCGGGTTATTATACATTGCTGATTGAAAATGATTTGGGTCGTTTAACGACTTCTTCACATTTAATTATTGAACCAATGGATGAGACAATCAGGTTGAAATATTTCACATCGAATCAATCAAATCAACAAGAAACAGTCAACCGGTTAGTAAATTTCCTTTCAATTCATGCAAAACTCATTGATGAATCTTGCAAGCCTAAACATTTATGAATTTTAAGAGTATTTTTGACAATGTCCTTATAGTCAGTGATTTAATGATTATGGTTCAATTAGAATTTATTGAATCATTGAATGGTTTTATTTATGAACAAATTCAGTCACTAACCAACAAATCCAACTAGTCTGAATCTTTTAGATATCAGCAAATTTATTGAATGAATGGAGAATAACGAATTGAGTTTAATTGTGCATCAAATAAACTAAAATAGGGTTAAATTAGTTTTGATGAAAGATGATGCTTATTTAATAAGCTTAATGTATTTAGCGATTCAAATAATTTAGATTCAAAAAATCTTTTTGATGTGACGTGTCAATATCAATCACATTCAACTGTCAAAACAGATCCTGGTTTTTACACAGTCGACATATTGGCCGTCGTCAGATGTAAGTGTCTCTAAGTCATGAATGGTCAAGATTAGTGTTTAAATTTTATCTATAACTGGAGTTTGCTATTCTAAAAATTCATATTGTTTATAAGACATTATTTAGTTATGTTTTGTAAAGAATCAACCTCTCATCTATTCGATGAATTTGTTCATATTTAAAAGTTTCAAACATTCATTCAGACTACACTGACTGACCTAGTTATAAAAAGTAAACTCAACCCAAGCAGAAACCTCGTTAACCAAAAAGAAATAATTTTCAAATCATTGATAATTTCATTTCTTTATTTCATTTAGTTCCCAACTATCGGCATCAGAAGATCAATCGCATTCACTATTGCATCAAGGGTTACAACCTCATTTTACTCGAATACCAAATGATAGTCAAGTTGCTGAAGGTAAACTGATTCGTTTTGATTGTCGAGTTTCTGGTCGCCCAAGTCCAGAGGTTTTTTGGTACCACAATGGCTCTTTGATTTTAGATGATGGTCGTTATAAGATTGTTGTCAATGAAGATGGTTTAAATTCACTAATGATACAATCGGTTGAAAAAAGTGATTCAGGTCGCTATATGTGTGTTTGTCGTAACATCCACGGACAAGAAGCTTTTGAAGTTAATTTAACTGTTATTGAAAGACAATCCTGTGTACCACCTAAATTTATTGAAAGATTTACCGTTCAATATCATCAACCAGGCGATAATTTAGTTTTACATTGTCGTTCATTGGGCACACCTCAGCCCACATTAACTTGGCTCAAAGATGCTCACCAAATTTATCCCAATCCTCCAAGAGTTGTAATTGAAACACATGGAGGAACATCAACATTAATCATTCATGGAGTTACACCTTCAGACGATGGTTGGTATCAATGTACTGCTCAAAATCCATCTGGAAGTACAGCAACTCGAGCTCGGGTTCATGTCTTTAGGGGCTCAGAATATTCTCCAGTTGGTCGATCACCAACTCCAGATTCATTGACAGGAAGACGAACACCAAATCGACCAGAATCAAGACAATCATATCATCATCATTCCCATCATTCTCAAGTAACATCAACATCAATGAGAAGTGTTGACTATTATTATCAACAAGAACCAATTAGTGAAACTATTCAACTTCGTCACGTAACACGACCAGCTCCAATCCGTCGTTTAGATTCGGAAGAACCATGGACTCGAACAAATCAGATCCCTCCTTCATTTACATGCCACTTGCGAGATCTAACACTAATCGAAGGAGATAGAGCATATTTTGATGCTCGCTTAGTTCCAATTGGTGATCCTTCAATTGTCGTTGAATGGACACGTGATGGTAGGCCATTAGAGGACTCATCAAGAATCATGACAACTTATAATTTTGGACACGTTACCCTAACAATTTTGCGCACCAAAAAATCTGATGCAGGTGTGTATTGCTGTCGAGCTTGGAACAGTCTGGGCGAAACAACAACGACAGCAGCACTTAATGTTTTCGATAAACAAACAATTCAACAAAAATCATTATTTTCATCTTCGGCCAATATCTTACAATCTTCCGATTTCCCTGCCTCTTCACTTGTTGAAGCACCAACAACTCCACCAACTTTTATAAAACCATTGATTGATTTAGGTAAACTTTATGAGAATGGATATGCTCATTTCGAAGCTCAAATATCTCCTTTTGATGATCCACATTTAACAGTTAAATGGTTCTTCAATGGTAAACCTTTAACAGTCGGTTCACGAATTAGTACTATTTACAACTTTGGATATGTCGCACTCAACATTTCATACCTTCGAGTTGAAGATTCTGGTGATTATACTTGTAAGGTAGTAAACCGACTAGGCGAAGCTGTTTCAACAGCTCGGTTAAAGGTCGTCAGCAGTGAATCTTTGCCTCTCACATTCACCGATGAACCAAAAACAGCATTCTTAACCGGTGATCAAGTTAACAAACGTCGCTATCAATGGTGTATTTCAGAAGAGGAAGGACCTAAAACTGAGCCCAGATTTGTTGAAAAATTGTCTGATGTAAAAGGCATACATGTTGGAAGAACAGTTCATTTTGAAGCTACTTTAGAGCCACAGGGTGATCCAACAATGAAAGTTGATTGGTATAAGGACGAAAAATTGTTGGAAGCATCTTCAAGGATCAAGACTTTCTTCAATTTTGGTTACGTTGCATTGACTATTGAACGGACAGAAGAGCGTGATGTTGGACAGTATAAATGTGTAGCCATCAATAAACGAGGCTCTGATAGTACAAGTGCTATTTTACAGTTTATTGAACAAGATCATCCTGATTATCAACCTTCTCCAGTCCAACCAATAAGACAAACCAAAGAAACCTGGGAACGGTACAGAGAAACAGAAGATATTACTCGTTACAATAGGATTGAAGTAGAAGAAATTGAATTACAGCGTAAACCTTCATTTACTTCACCATTGATTGGACCTGAGACTGTTGTTGAAGGTGAAGATGTCCACCTTGAAACACGCTATAGCCCTAAGAGCTCAAACATTTCGTTGATCTGGCTTCATAATGGTTCACCAATAGACATGAATGATCGCCGATTTTCAGCTATATCACACTTTGGTTATGCTGCTCTTGATATAAGGCCAACAAAATCAAATGATTCAGGTGTGTTTACTGTTATTGCCACCAACGAAAAAGGTGAACAAGCTGAAGTCGCTAGAAGTATTTTAGTGACACCATCACCATCAACATCCTTGACCTATGAAGCTGGAGTTGAGAGAAGACAAACTAAATTATCATCGTCAAGCTCACAATCACACATTGCATTGTCTCGATCATCAAGCACTATTCAAGTTAAACCCTATTTTATTCAGCCATTGACTCAACCAACTGTTCATCTAATTGAAAATCAACATGTCCATTTGGAGGCTCAAGTTGAGCCTGCTCATGATGTCGAGCTTCAAGTTACTTGGCTTAGGAATGGTCGACAATTACCGGCTAATCCAAGATACACGACAAGGGTTGATGTTGGTTTCATTACACTCGATATCGTTGATCTTAAACCAGAAGACATTGGTGAATACACAGTGATTGTTACCAACTCTTTAGGCTCTGCGAGTTCAAGTGCTTCCCTTAAAATGCAGGGCTACACACCAAAAACTCCAGAAACTTATGGAAAAGATTTTAATCCATTCAAATCTCAATTTGAAAAGGATGTTCAACAAAGGTATCAATCGAGAGTTGATACTGAACTTGCAGCTAGTAAGCGTGATAAGGAAAGTAAACCTAAATTCATTGTTCCACCTCCTTCTTATACGGTCGATGAAGGACAATCATTAACATTGGAAACGCACTTTATCGGCAATCCAACACCAACAATTAAATGGTTTATTGAAAAACGCCAAATTACTTCTGATGGTATTAAATATAAAATAACAAATGATACAGACGCAGGAGTTTCACGTCTTGAAATTTTCAAGACCACATCAAATGATTCGGGTAGATACACCTGTGAAGCCACGAATAAGTACGGAACGAATACAACTTCATCTTTAATCGATGTTTATAAAAGTGGTGAGAGGCCTCGTTTCCAATCAGAACTAACAGTTTTAACCATTCGACCTGGTCAACCGTTGGAATTGAAATGTCGAGTGGCTGGTTTTCCATCGCCGATGATAGACTGGTTTCACAATTCTATTCCTATTCATCAATCAGAAGTAACTTCAATGACTTACAACTCAGAAACTGGAGACGCTTCATTAACCATTCATAATGTAACCACAGAACATTCAGGTCGTTATTCATGTCGAGCAACTAACCAATATGGAGTTGAAGAATCATCGACAATTGTAAATGTTTTACCTGACCTTCCATATGATTCATCATCTTCTAGACCCACTTTCTATCGACCTCTGGGTCCCATGGTAATTCCTCTCGGTCATCCAGCTAGGATTATTGTTGAATATGAAGTGAAACAACCATTTCAAGCAAGATGGTATCATAATGGCATTGAAATTACTTCAACGGATAATATTCGTATTGAGACAACATCAAATACATCATCTTTAACTATTTATCGTGTTGGTCCTGAACATGTTGGACCTTACAGAGTAACAATCTCCTCCATAAGTGGTGAAGCAACAACTTTAGGAGATTTGTCAATCATCGAATCAGTCCCTGATTCAAGTAAAAGGTCTGTTGAGTTCAAATCTATACTGTCGAGTCAGCAGCAGCAACAGCAACAGCAACAGTTTACAACGATCCAGAGTCATTCAACGAAGCAATTTTTATCTTACAAATCGGCGAAAAGTAATATTCATCAGATCGGAGATACGTCTAGTCGTACATCTAGCGTACCACCGGGTCTAGATCGAAATCGACTTCCATCTGCTCCATTAGGCTCCGACCGGTTGGATAGAGGAAGCCAACCATTATATGGCTCGGATGCCATTGATTCTAGATTATTATCACAAGCAACAATCTCTCTAGATGAGCTTCGTGGTGATGGTCTATCAACAACACCGCAACAGATGACGACCTTGCCGTTAGATAACAGGCAACGCTTACAACGACAGCCTGTAACCCTAACGTCCAAGACGGTAACCCATCCATCATGGCCTGAACAAGCATCATCAACCGAATCCATTTCTCGCTCACAAATGTATCGGGTTACTCGAGTTTCATCAGCATCACCTGAACGCAAATCAGTTTCCCCTCATTTCCCTCATCACAGACCAAAAATGCCTGTCAATACAGTTGAGGATAGAATAAGTTCGCCAAGTGGATTACCTAAAGCTCCAATCAAACATGTTGCCAATCTTGAATGGAAACCTCAGCGCCTTGTTTTCCCAGTCTCTCAGATGCTGGAGGATGAACCAACCATGTTTATCAGCAAGGATTCAGCAACTCTTAAACCAACGGACAAGGTAAGTGTTAGTCCTTCAATTAAACCTGTATTTTCTTCTATTCCAGTCGACGAAAAGAGTGAAGTTAAATTAACAATTGAATCGACGAAGAAGAGTTACTGGGAAACATCGACAACTCGGAAAACAACAACAGTAATGATGGCTACGGAATCAGACAAGCGACCAGAGGGCGAACAAAGTGGATCTCAAAAAGTCGTCCAGAGAATGGAAAAAGTTACCCTTGAATTAAAGCCTCCGATAGTCAACTTTCTTTTTGAAGAATGGAAATCTGATGATGAATCTGGACGGAATGAGATTTATTATGATACTAGAGGATATTCATTTCCACAGAAACAACCAAGTTTACAACCGACATCGACTTCAATCATTTATCAGCCTTATCAAAAGGCAACATTGGAATTGCCTTGTCCACGTCTAACCTTTACATTTGATGACTTTGCTCCAACCAATTTAATTGCTCCTTCACCTGAACTGATTGATCTTTCAGCATATTTGTATCAAGAAGATGAAACTCCCAAATCATTGGAGCCTTTGTTTTCAGTTGAATTTGAAATACCTTGTCCAATGATTTACTATGGTACAGCTCCAGCTGGATCAGAAAGTGTTTCACTCTCACCAATTGGCATTGAAACAATTTCAGGCGAAATAATCAGACCTGATTCAGTAATGTCTGAAAGATCTGATGATGTTGACATGATTGAAGATCGTCCTAGAGGCTTAAAAAGAAGTGCCAGTTTACATATTACTCGAGTGGTTGAACCATCTGCAGTTGTTTACACAGTTCCGTGTCCTATTTATGAGTATCGATTCCAGGAGGTTCCAATCGACAAACATGGTCGACCTTTGTCAGGCATATTTGATCTGAGTGCAGCTCCACCATCTCCTGGCATATTGAAGAGTGAAAGTGGAGTGATTGACGTTGAGGCTCTGTATGCTCTTGGTTATCTTAAAAATTTGATTGCCACCATTGAAATTCCCAATACTCGAATAACCTTTAGGATTCAAGGTAAAGCACCTAAACCACTTTCAGTGAGTGCTGGACTTGCAGATGGTCAAACATCAGATCAACCAGAAGAGTTGTTGGTTATAACAGAATATGAAGTTCCCTTCCAAAGATTGGAAACCAAAAGACCAGAAGGATTGTTATCTCAACCATCAACGACCGGACTCGGTTCTCCTTTACAACCAACTACTCAGACTAGATTAAAAGAGCAACCAATGACCTCTGAAACCTCACTTCCTTTCCCGAAAATTTTCATGTCTCTGCATGAAGACATGATGCCTTCTCAAAGCACTGATGAGGCAAATCCTCAAGTGATCAGCATTTCTCAACAATACTCAACTCAACTTAACCGCTATGAAACACTTGCTCTAATTGAACGTCAATATGGCCCTCTACCGATGACATCCGCGCAAACACAACCCGTTAGCCCATCAACTGTACGAGAAGAGTTTAGAGAGGTAACCATAAGATCGCAAGGAAAAAGAAGATCATCTAAAACGATGAAAACTGAAAGTAAAACTTTATTGAAAGAAAAAGATAAACCCATTAAAGAAAAGAAATCGCCACCGAAAGAGGAAAACTGGACATGGACTGGATTGACTATTCCTGTGTTAACTTATGTTTTTAATTTCCCAATACCTTATATAGCCAATTATTTTGTTCCATGTTCAAAACTCGAACCTTCTGAGGAAGTTTCTTCTCAGTTTTACATAACAATTTCTGAAAAAATTCAAAAAATTATTTCTATTGATCAACTTAAACCAACTAGTACAGTTTCTGAGTCATCATCTGGTTTGAGAGTCACAGATTATCCTTTACCCGTCGATGTTGTTCGAGACTTCATTGTAAGTGAAGGTTTCATTGAATTGACAGTAACACAATCGGAGATTGAACTTTTGAAGCGTCAAAGGCCACCATATGTCAGAGATACTGTACCACCAATGCTGATTACTATCAGAAGTCAGGCCAGGCCCAAACAAATTAAACAATCGGTCAAAAGATCAGAGGTTATAACGATAAAAACATCATCAAAGCAAACAGGAATTGTTGATGTAAAACAACAACCAATTACACAAAGTATTGAAGTTGAATCAACAGCTAAGCCAACTTTTGAAGCTGAAAGAGTAAGGTACGAGACTATTCAACCCTCAGTTCAGATTGTCCATTCAGTTCCAGAATCTGACCATGTGAGCCAACCTCAAGAAACTATGCAAACAGAAATTTCATCAAAATCAACACCTTATAATCAAATAGTTTATCAAGTTGATTTGCCCAAAGATCAATCCCTAACTACTCACCAGAGTTATGAAAGTAGTCAAATGATTCACAAAGTTGAAAAGGTTACACCAACTCCAATCTACATAAGTCATCCAGAGATGATTCAGCAACCTGAAAGTAGACAGCAAACATCTTTAGATATGACACCGAAACAAGTTCAACCAACAACAACTCACATTCAACAATCTCCACCAGTCGCACCGAAGCCTATCCACAGACAGCCTTTAGGTACTCCAATTGAACTGACGATTGGTAAAAAGACTAGTCAGTTCAAACAGCCAGCTGAATCTAAACTTGAAATTACAACTCAATCTACAGAGATTCCAGTTAATGAACTTGTTGATGTAACCCAGAGACCTGATTATCAACAAAACATTAATCTAGAATCGTATGGTCGTCCATATGAAAGAACTGACCTTAATCGGTCTATTTTCCAATCAGTAACTAAAACAACAACAATTGAAACAAGTCCTGTAGTAACTATTGATCGACCAGCAAGCGTGTTGCCTATTACCCAGACTACATCGACTCGTTTTTCAGAGCAAATGGAAAGAGAACCAACTAAAGTTACAACTGAAACTTTACAGACTCACACAGCATCTTATCAATTACCATCGCCTCAATTATATTATCCGTACCAAGATGATAGTCAAGTTCAAATGCCTTTCCAGCCTCAAAGTCAAACTCCACTGGCTCCTGTTAGATCCAAAGTCAAGCAAGTCCCTCAGCCTTTGCAATCAAAACTTGTTGTACAACAGCCAGTCGAGCGTCAAGGTGATTCGGGTGAAGCTAAAGCACAGCCAGTAAAACCGATGGTAACTTCATTCGAGACGCCAACACCAAGGATAACCTATCCGTTCCAGACTGACTCTGAGCGACCAGAGCAATTTATTACAGGAATGACTCCACATCCAGGCTATATTGGATACCCAGATCAAGAAAAATTCATACCTGAAGTAGCGTTAGCATCAACTTCAAGAGAAATGACGATTCAAACCCAATCAAAAACATTGACTCAACTGCAAAAACAGCCAACTGCTGGTTCATCTATTATAGTAACAAAAATGTCGACACAAAAGAGGATTGAATCAACAAGAGCAGTTTCACAACCTCAAATCTCATCTTCTTCTGAAGAATTTGTTGATATAAAAGTTATCGACTCACAAAAACGTCCTTTCGATGTTTCCTCCAAAGCTTTGCCTCAACATTTTACTGAATCAATAACTAAAACAAAAGATACTCAACCAACACCGAAATCCGTTATTTACAAGGAAGATGAAAAACAACATGCTCGTGAAACAGTTTCTGCGGCAATCGAATCAACTATGAGAGCAGAAAAAATGATTCCCTATTCAATTGTTAGATATCATGTTCCTGATGAAAGCCAAATGCAACAACCTGAAATGCCTCGAGATGTACATATTACATCAAAAGGTAGATCACAAAGTAAAATAGTTATGGAATCAACAAAGGTTGAAATCACAAAATCTCCAATACAACCTAAGACTGCCTTGATGGATCAATCAGCACCTGAAACCAGTCCATTCAAGGCATCAACAACTTCGTTACAAATGTCTAAGGAGCCAACTCCAACTCAGAAACCTATCGATCAACCAGCTTTTATGCCACGTGAAGTAACAATCAAGTCATCTGGAAAGAGTAGGTCAGAAAGTCAATTGGAAAAATCATCAATATCTCAGACAATATCGAAACAAGTTCAACACCGATTTCTATCTGATTCGGAATTGCCTTCTTTTGATTCTGCTAGCCAGATAACTTTTGATAATCAACAGCTTGCACAGGCTCAATCTGATTTAGTTCAACAACCAACATTATTCGAAAGTCAAAAATTGTATACAAGCTCACAGAGATCATTTGAAACTCGTGTTGATCAACCATATCAACGTGTCGAATATCGTCCACCTTCCGAACTTCAACCTCAAATTGTACCGAAAATTGATGAGGGAATTCAGAAAACAGCTGCATCTCAATATATCCAACACGTTTTAGCTCCATTGGTTAAAGCTGAATTAACATTACCCCATCCAATGTACATATTTAATGTTGAAGAAATAATTGTGAGAACAAAAGAAACAGAAAAACCAGCGATAGATGAAACAAAATCAACTTTAATGACATTAACACAACAAAGAAAACAAAAGGCTGTTGACACAATTACAAAGGCATTAAGTCCTTTCATTGTCTCATTGGAAATACCATCACCTCGATGGGTATTTTATATTAAAGAGATACGAGTCAGAACTTCGTCCAAAGAAAGAGATCAAATATTTATCTCTGAGATTGTCACTCCATATCACGAGATTCCTGCGGTTTCCCCTGCTTATGTTGAAATGCCACCAGCGCATTCATCTACCTATGAGTCACAAGCTCAACAAACTTTATTGTTGACTGATTTCAAAGGCCCAGAATCAAGAGAAACGGTCACATTTACTGACCAACAATCAACCACACCAGCAATGGCTTCATTCATAGACATACAAGAAACTGAGTCTGAAAGAAGACGTCGAGCAGCTGCGACAATTCATTCTGTGATAAGTCCATTGATCAGAACTGAATCTTTCCCGGTTCCTAGTTATCCAATTGAGCCAGTTAGCCAAGAGTTCAGATTAACATCCAAGGGAAGGACGAAAGTTGATCAAAGATTCGAAAGAAGTTCACTTGAGGTGACTAAAAGTGTACAATCTACTTCTTACGAAACTGCTAGTCGAGATATTCCTTCATTGGTTTCAATCGATCAAATGGTAGTTGACCAACAAACTCGTTTACAGACTTCGGTTCATCAAATTGAATCGACTTCATCGCCATTATTACACACAGAGGTCAGATTACCACAGCAGTTTGTTGAAGATCAGTCGATTCGCGAAGTAAGAATAACAAGTAAAGGCCAAAAGACGAGTGAGGCTAGATTGGAAAGAACTGTTATCTCGGCAGAATCAAAGCCAGTAGCACAACTGTTACCAGAAAGAGCTGAGCTACCAGATAAACCTTCAGATGACAAAGACGTAGCTCGAAGTTATTTGCAAAATATCTTACAACCTCTTGTACAAATGGAAATACCTTATCCCCGATTGTTATTCCCTGTCCCTGCTGACTTAGAATCGGTACAAGAAATGACTATAACTTCAAGAGGAAGGGACAGACAAGAAGCACATTTAGAGACATTCGAAGCTACAAAATTAGTATCAACAATGGATTTTGAAAACCAACCTGAAACAGATTCAACAACAAAAACAATCATTCAATTGAAAAGAACTGAAAAACATAAGAAAGAGAAAAAGATAATTCAAAAACAAGTAACTGAATCGGTTGAGGGGCAAAAGCCACTTCAATTCCCGACAAGAGATGTTACCATAAAATCAAAAGGAAGAGAAAGATCATTAACTAGACTGGAATCAACTGAGATTGAAGTAGAAACAAAACCCAAATCAATTGAAATAGAAACAGTTGATCAACCAAGTTCAGTTGACACTAAAGTCTTAGAGCCATCAGATACAAAAACTTCTCAAACGATTCAATTGAGCAAACCTGAAAAAATACAAAGGCCAATTCAAGTGAAAACTAACATAATCGAGCAACCATCTATGCCGGTTGAATATCCACTGCGCGATTTTACGATAAAATCAAAAGGCAGAGAACGATCATTGACTAGACTTGAATCAGTGGAGATGGAGATAGAAATAAATAAAAAGGTCGAACAACCAATTATTGATGAAACTCAGATAATTCCGGACACGGCTGAGATTCCTGATGCAGATTCGAAAGATGAAGCATTAATTGAAGCTCAAACAGTTATCCAACTGAAAAAACCGACTAGGAGAGAGATGGTTGAAAAGATCGAAGATTCACCAGGCCCAAAATCGCCTTCAGTACGCGATGTTACCATTAAATCTAAGGGTCGGGAAAAATCTTTATTACGAGTGGAGTCAGTTGAGGTCGAGCTTGATAAAAAGAAAGAACCTAATTTGCCAATTGAAATAAAGCCATTAAAGGAAACAGAAGATACTAGAAAAGATACTAAAGAGATACAATTGAGTAAACCTGTGATAATTAAAAAGAAAATTCCTGGTGAAACAGTAATTTTCTATGTACCTGAAATCACACGTAAACCATCATTAATTGAAGAACCAATTTCATCAACAATGAAGATTGAAAAGACAACAATAGAGATTGAAAAACGCAAAAAAATCGAGCAGCCTGAACAAGTTGAACTTTCAACTGAAACAATAATGATAACTTCAGAAGCAAAAGAAATTGTTGATTCTGGTAAACCATTGGAAACTGATGAACATTTAGTTTTACCTAAAAAGCAAGAAGTATCAGCTAAGCCAAGTATCGTAACACAAGAAGCAATAGTAATTGCTGAAGGTACTATTGATGGATCAACTAAATCATTAGAAACAAAAATTCCACAAGAAAAAGCTAGTGTCGATTTGACGCAATCAAAAGCAGTTACAATTGATGAAACTGGACCAGTAGAGAAAGAAACAGCTTTGAAAGCACCAATACATCCTAAATCTAAACATGCTAGAGTCTTAAAAGGTGTACCGAAACAAAGATCTTTATCAATTGAAGGTAAACAGTTGATGGAAACTGAGTTGCCTTTAACGGTTGATCAACCAGAGACTAGTCATTTGATTCCAGTTAAAACTGACCAAACTCCGATAGCAAGTGCCCAAGTATCTGAAGCTAAACTTGAAGAAAAAACGCTTCCCATAGAAACAGTTGATACAAAAGTGAGACGGGCTTCAATCAAGACAACAGTTCCAAAACGGAGATCAGTATCTATTGAAAGGAAAGATTTAATGGAGAAAGAGTTACTTCGAAAAGTACCTGAAATATCGATATGTAAAGCTTCAATTGACTTGGTCCCGCCAATTTTAGCTTTTCAAGTTACAGTGCAATCGATAATGGAAACTGAACAACCAATTTCAGTTTCACCTGAAACCACGGAACATCATGCAACCAGCTCATTCGATACATCAAAAGCAGTAACTGTCAGTGATGTTTTCGCACCACAAGAAGTTGTTGCTTTCAAAATTCCTTCAACAAAGTCAGAGTCAGCATCAGTTGAGGTTACCTCATTTACTGCTCCTGAGTCTCGAGTTGAGTTCCCATGTGAGATTGAACAGCCTCAAACCCCAGAGAAACCTAAAACATCAAAGGTCAAAGTAAAAGCGCCAGTTAAAACAAAGCATTCATTGATCGTTCAACAGAAAGATTCCTTTGAAAAAGAATCAGAACTACAACCTGAAGTCGTTCCAGATAAAGGACAAGGATCTGTGTCTTTGACATCAACATCTGCCATATCAGTTTCAACTCGCGACTATTTAGAAGCAGCCGAGAAACCTCTTGAGATCGATTCAATCAAACCTAAGGTTGCCACACAGTCAGTGGTTGACAAAACATCGGCAGCATTATCAATATCTACCATTGAAACTGGTGAAAGTGAGACAGTTCAGTTATCTAAGACACCTTTAGATAAACGTCCAAGTGTCAGTTTGACTGAAAGTCAAGCCATTGAGGTAACAACATCAATTCCTGGAGATACTGAGAAAAATCTCGAAGAAAAAGCTAAACCAGAGAAACATAAATTGAAGAAAAAAGTTGATATTAAAAAACAAAAACCCATTTCAATTGAATCTCAGCATCCAATAGAATCAGTTGGATCGATTGATAAAATGGATCAACCCCTTGAACAAGTTAAAGAGTCAATTTCACCAATTACTCCTTTAACAGTTAGTAAGACGGAAACTGTTGAAGAATCAGAAAAATTTTCTCAACCTCAAACAGCTAAGCTTTCACAAGCAGCTCAATCAATGACGCCTTTAACTCAAGCTATAACAGTGCAAAGTATAGATACAATAAACTTTGAAAGTCCATTAAAGGTTGACCAGCCTATTGTGGAAGTAGCTCGCATCGAAATACCAACTTCAATTGCAATTGAAGCTTCACTTGATTCATTAATTGAAGCCGGACCTGAAGAGACAAAATCAGTTCAGCCAAAAAGCCAAAAGGTTAAACCTAGAAAATTAATCAAACCAAAACATCCTCTTCAAGTTACTCAGGGTGAATCATTCGAACGTGAATTAGATTTACCATTGGACAACACAATGGTACAAACAATTTCAAGCTCTATTGAAATAACAACTCGAACAGCATTTTCAGTATCTTCGAGTGATTTAATAGAAGAAGCAACTGTTTCGACAGCCTTAGATACTGTTACCAGTGTGGTTGAAGAATCAAAAACAATTGAAACGAAACATAAACCAATAACAGTTTCATCGATTGAGACTCTTGAAACAACCGATTCAATTTCAGATGTAAGACCATCAGCAAGTCAACCAACGGTTGATATTACTCAAGCACAAGCTTTGTCTGTAGTTGAATCAATAACAGGTGAAACCGAACAGCTATATGCCCAGCCAATTACTATGGAGGCTAAGCGCATGAGATCCAAAATTGATTTACAAGAAAAGCGAACCTTGTCCATTGAAGCTCCGGAATTAGTTGAGAATGTAGTTGAAGCTGTTACAGAATCAAAACCAAGTGACGTCGCAAAACAGAGTCTGATTCCAGAAAAATCTGTAACCATTGATTTAGTGCAATCGATGGAGAAAGTCGAAACTTTGACCACTACAAGCCCACAAATTAAAACTATTGTGTCGGTTTTGTCCGATAAAATTAATACACCAATGACAATAACAATGGAAGTACCAAATGATAATGAAAAACCGTTAATAACACAAGAAATGAAGCCAGATAAAGGAGTTATGAACGTCGAAACATCAATTGCAATTCAAGCAACTGAAGCTACATTTAGTATGAAAGAAACAGATTTTATTGAGCAGAAACCAGTCTCGGCGTCAGCTACAGCAAAACAAATTGAAGACGATAAAAAATCAATTTCGATAGAAAGTAAAGAAACTTTGGAAAAAGAAGGCGAATTGTCAGTACCAACATCTAAGGAGGAAAACTTGACAATATCAAGTTCGGTAATAACTCAACAAGCAATGGAAATAACTGTTGCTATTCCTGGTGAAATGGAAGAAACTACTAAACCAGAAAAACCAGAAAGGAAAAAAGTTACAAAAAAGACAAATCTTAGAAAATTAAAATCAGTTTCAATTGAGAAACCAGAACTTTCTGAAAGTATTGTTCCAATAGAAACAACACAACAACCAACTAATCAAGCAGCTAAATCAATTGAATCAGATCAATCAATTATTGTTTCAGATAATCAAATAATTGAACAACCAACAGAATTGAATATTGAATATCCTGATGCTAAGCAAAGTTCATCAACATTAACTGATAGAAATTTACATCATTTGGAGGTTTCACTCCAAGATATTGGAGTTAAAGAAAGTGAATTGGCTTTAGATAAACCTGATGAAAGTAATGCTGATATCAATATTTCACCATCAACTGCTATGATTGGTACTCAAGTGATTAGTAATGAGAAAGAAATTACAATTGAAGTTGGTGTTGAAGCTAAGCCATCAATACAACTAGAATTTGAAGCTGAAATGAGAAAATTTAAATCAATTTCAATCGAGAAAAGAGAAACATTAGAAATGGAAGGAAAATTCGAGACACCCTTGCCTCGAAAAGAGAAGTTATCAAAGAAAACTTCGATTTCCAAGAAAAGATCAGTTTCTATTGAAAGACCATTAGTTATGGAAAGTGAATCTTCAACTGATATACAAATTCAACCTGAAATGAAACTAAAAGAAAGTAAAGTTGATTCAAAATCATCATTTGCAACAACAAACATACAACAAGAAAGTCTTGAAAGTGAATCACAATTAGATCAACCAATAGTGAAATCAAGTCAAGCTGATAAATTGATTGAATCAATACCACAAGCTTTAACTGTTATAACAAGTGATGTTTCACAAGATGAAATACCTTTAGATTTACCAAAAGAGACAAGTTCATCTGCATCAATTGATATACCAACAATGATTGTTGCTGAATCACGAGTTGATCAAGTAATAGAGAAAGAAGATATTTCAACAATTGATGAAAATATTTCAAAACCAGAAAAAAAGAAAGTAAAAGTGAAACCAACAATACGATCAAAACAATCATTCGAAGTTATCCAAAAGGATTCGTTCGAAAAAGAAAGTCCAATTGAAACTGATAAAACAGAAGTCGCTACACAAAAGTTTGAAGAAACAGGAAAAACAGTAGCAACAGTTGAATCAAAACAATTGATGGAAACTGAAACTGAAAGTTTCATCTCACCTGATCAAAGTGAATATGTTATTCCAAAGCTTACTGAAGAGCTCAATAGGACAATCACTATCCAGGATTCACAACCCATTGAATTGGAGGAGTCAGTTATTTCTCAAAAGTTACCAACTGTCCAACCTCAAGTTGCTTTTGCCACAAGCCAAGGAATTACAATCACTGCACAAATTCCTGGTGAAACAGAAACGATTCTACCAGAAGAATTAAAACCTGAATCTCATAAACTTAAGAAAAAAGTAGATCTGAAAAAACAAAGATCTCTGTCTGTTGAACGTCCAGTTACGATGGAAGCGACTGAAAACATCCCGATCTCGGAAAACAAAAAAGAGACGGCGAGTCAGTTATTATCACCTGAAGCATCTTTAGTAGTGTCAACGATAGAATCAGTTGAAAACACAGTCAAGCTAGAAATAGAAATACCTTCAGAGAAAACAGTTGTGAAGTCAATATCAGAGTCCGTCTATCATTCTTATGAGGTGAACATACCTGTTGCCGATTTAGCCGAGACTGATTTGAAACAGATCCCTCATACCTCATCGAAAGCTCAGATTGGAATAACAGAATCAGAAGCTGCTTCTGGAATAATTAGTCAACCAGTTGAATCTGAAGTTACATTAGATGTCGATTCTTTGCCTGAAAAAGTGAAACCAACAAAAACATTAACAAAGAAAAAATCAAGATCAATTTCAATTGAAAGAAAACAAAGTTATGAGAAAGAAGACAAACTCGATGTTGAGTTATGTAAACCAGAAAGTGCTAAGCCTGATATTAGTGATACTCAAGCAATATCAATTGGAATTGATGTTCCGATTGAAAAAGAAGAACAATTAAAAGAAGATGTTAAACCAGAGAAGAAAAAGGTTAAAGCAAAGAGACCTTTGAGTAAAACAAGATCAGCATCAATTGAAAGACCACAATTAATGGACAAAGAAGATGAATTTGATGTGAAAAAGCCGTTGGTCGTTACAGCAACAACATCAATGGTTCCTCAAAAGACGATCGAAAGTTCAACAGTCGATACATTGGAAAGTGAACAAGTTGTAATACCAATAGATGAAAGTCAAATTGCTGAGAAAACGGCAAAAATATCAACAGAAACAAAATTATTAGAGAAAGTAAAATCATCTGAAAAACTGTTGACAATGATTGGTGAACCTGAAATTGAAAGACCGAAAATTGAACAAGAAATTGAAATTGAATCAAAAGGACGTAAACCAATTCGTAAAGAAATAATTCAAACGTTTAAAAAAGTTGGTGATAAAATAACTTCCATTCAAGTTGAATCAACTCAATATGAAGATTCCATTGTTGATATTACTATGGAACAAGATAGTAAACAAGAAATTGATATTGAATCTAAAAAGAAAGGTGATTTATTCGTTGAAGAATTAACAACTGAATTTGGTGAATCACCAACTCCAACAACAACCAAAATGGAAGATTCTATCAGTATTGAATTACCTGAGGAAGACCAAGAAGTAATATCAAAAGAGAAAGATAAATCATCTGAATCAATCGAGATAATGCCTGATATGGATATTAAAGTTGAATCTAAAGGAAAGAAAGACAAAAAGAAACCTAAATTCAGTGAAAGGTTTGGTGTACATCGCAACGTAGCTGATATTCAAGTTGAAGGTAAGTCGGACATTGATAATATTCCTGTAGATAGTTCCTCTGAAAATTTAGAACAAATAGATTCCTTGGAAAATGTCCCTGTTGTTGAAATGGAAATGATTAAAGATGAAATATCGGATTTGATTGGTGAAGCTCCGGAAGATACTAAACCAGTTGACGAGGATGAACAAGATAAAAGTGAAATTAAAGTTAAAACTCATAAAGCTAAGTTAAAGATTCCTGGAACTCGAGTTATCTACAAAGTTCCTGGTCATCGTGCCAGATCACCCAGAATTGATACATTCGAGTCACCCGAAATTCCTGGTTATCAAGTAGTTAAACTTAGCATTCCAGGTAAACGAGTTATCTTCCGAGCAAGACCAAAAGGAGGCAAACATAGTGACCAAGAAGAGGAGATTGTACCGGAAAAGAAGAGTGGATTAACTATGGATTTAAAGATGGACCAGATTGAACAAAAGGAAGAGAAAGGTGATTTGGTTGGAGTGGAAGAGAGTGAGAAGAGTCAAAGAGTGACAATTAGATCAAAAGGAAGAATGAAATCATTGCAAAGACATGAAGCAGTTGATCTTGAGATTGATATTGATAATCAAGAACATTATGAGACATTCGAGATGATTGGTGATGAAGTTCAGCCAGAGGTTATCCAAGAAGATGAAAAAATAGTGACCACAAAATTGAAAATAACTGGACGTAAAATCGTATTCAAAGTACCAAGAAGAATGAGTCAGCCTGAGATTGAAAGTGAAATGGTTATTGATCAACCTGCTCAAATCGAAATTCCAGATATTATTGAAGCTCAAACTACGATCGAACTCAAGAAACCTGATCAAAAACCAGTTGAAGTTGTGAAACAAAGTGAATCCGTTGAACTTGAAAAATCAATCCCAGTTCAAGAAGTCACCATAAAATCAAGAGGTCAACAGAAAATGGAAACTCAGCTAGAATCTGAATCTATAGAAATTGAAAAAGCACCAAAACCAAGTTTACAAGAGACAGAGTCCGAAGATCTAAGGCCTGTTGAAACATCAGTTGAACTACAGATAAAAGAAAAAGAAACTGAATCAGAGATGGTTGAGAAAGATAAACAAACTGAAACGACGAAAGTAAAAATTTCTGGTCGTAAAGTTGTTTTCAGAGTTCCTTCTAAATCTGAAGAAGGTGAAACTGTCGAGAAATTGTCTGAAATCGAAACATCAATCGATCAACCTGAAGAGCAGCCTAAAAAAGTAGAAACACAAATGAAACCTAAAAGGCCAAGCATTGGATCAATGCAAGAAATTATTATTGCAGCAAAAGGACGACAAAAATCATCTTCAATATTGGAATCTACTCAGATTGAAGCTGAACAAGTGATGACTGAAGAAGATATCGAAGAATCTGTTAAAATTAATATTACTGGTAAAAGGATTGTCTTCAGAGTTCCAAGAAAATTATGTTTGGAAGACGCGACTGTTTCTGAGGAATTAGAGCAACCAAAAGACATCGAGGAACAAGAAATAGCAGAAATAACCGATGATGTTCCCGCAACGGATGAAATGAGTAGCATTGATATTAAGGGTAAAAGAATTGTATTCAAAGTGCCTAGAAGGTTCAGCAAAGAACAGATAATGGAAGCTGAAGAGTCAATTTCAGAAACAACACAAGTGAAAATAACTGGACGCAAAATTGTTTTTAAAGTTCCTCGAAGACTCAGCCAACCTGAAACTGAAGAGTTGCAAATAAGTCATGATGAGGCTGATATTTCAGTGAGTGAACAGGTTGAAGTTGATACACAATTCAACGCGAAGGAAGACATAGAGTTACAGTTGGAAAAAGAAAAGGTACGAGAAGATCTTGAGATGGAAACTCAGCCTGATTCTGTTCAAGAAATAAGTATTACATCTAAAGGACAAGAGAAATCAGATCTCGAAATAGTCTCAGAACAAATTGAAGTTGTAAAAGAAATAACTGAAACAACAACTCCTGATGGCGTTACAGATGCGACAGTACCAGATAAAATAAAGAAAACAAAGAAAAAGATTAAATTCGAAGAAAAACCTGCAGAAGATTACAAATCGAGTGAACAAATTGAAATAGAAAAAGAATTAGAAGAAGAAGAAATAAAAAAGGTTGAAATTGAAACTCAACCAGATTCTGCCCAAGAGATAAGCATAACATCTAAAGGGCAGAAGAAATCAGAAATTAAAATCGAATCAGAGCAAATTGAAGCGATAAAAGAAATTACTGAAACCACAATTCCTGATGGAGTAACAGATGCAACAATACCGGAAAGTGATAAAACTAAAGCGAAGAAAACCAAGAAAAAGATCAAGCCAGAGACGAAATCTATTGATGTGACTGAAGAAGAGTCACGTTCTGAAGCTCAAGTAACAATAGAGTTGCGACAAAAAATAGAAGCAACTGTAGAAAAGGACGAAGGAGAGAAGCTAGAAATCGAAATTCAACCTGATTCTGCCCAAGAGATAAGCATAACATCTAAGGGACAAAAGAAATCGGAGATCAGGATAGATTCAGAGCAATTGGAAGTCACAAAAGAAATCACAGAAACAACAATACCTGATGGTGTAACAGACGTAACGGTACCAGAAAGTGACAAAGAGAAGATCAAGAAAACTAAGAAAAAGGTTAAACCCAAAGACAAACCTGCAGAAGAATTTAAATCGACTGAACAAATCGAAATGGAAAAAGAAATAGAAGAGAAAGAAGTAGAAAAGGTTGAAATTGTAACTCAACCAGATTCCACTCAAGAAATAAGCATCATATCTAAAGGGCAAAAGAAATCAGAAATCAAAATAGACTCAGCAGAAATCGAAGCCGTGAAAGAAATAACTGAAACAACAATACCTGATAGCATTACAGAAGCTGCAGCACCAGAAAAGATCAAGAAGACAAAGAAAAAGGTTAAACCAACAGAAAAACCAGAAGAAGATTTTAAATCTAGAGAACAAATTGACATGGAAAAAACAATCGAAGAAAAAGCAACGGAAAAGGTTGAAATTGAAACTCAACCTGATTCCACTCAAGAAATGAGCATAATGTCTAAAGGAAGAGATAAATCAGAGCTCGACATCGACTCTGAGAAAATGGAAATCACCAGAGAAATCACTGAAACAGCAACTTCTGACGTTGTGACTGATGTAACGATACCAGAAAAAGACAGAGAAAAAGTCACGAAAACAAAGAAAAAGATTAAACCCAAAGAAAAACCTGCTCAAGATTTCAAATCAAGTGAACAAATTGAGATGGACAAAGATCAAGATCAAGAGATTTCTCAAGATGTATCCATAAGTTCAAAGGGTAAAGATAAATCAGAAATTCTTATAGAATCAGAAAATATTGAAGTTGAACGTGAACCTGTTCTGTTGATTGCACATGTGGATGAAGAAGACAAACCAGATTTAGAAAGAAAAGATTCGATTGTAATTGAATCGGGTAAAACAGTGATGATTAAGAAGAAGATTCCAGGTGAAACAGTTACTTTCCATGTGCCTGAAATCACACGTAAACCATCATTAATTGAGGAACCAATTTCATCAACAATGAAAATTGAAAAGACAACAATAGAAATTGAAAAACGCAAAAAGATTGAACAACCTGAACAAGTTGAACTTTCAACTGAAACAATAATGATAACTTCAGAAGCAAAAGAAATTGTTGATTCTGGCAAACCATTGGAAACGGATGAACATTTAGTTTTACCTAAAAAGCAAGAAGTATCAGCTAAGCCAAGTATCGTAACACAAGAAGCAATAGTAATTGCTGAAGGTACTATCGATGGGTCAACTAAATCATTAGAAACAAAAATTCCACAAGAAAAAGCTAGTGTTGATTTGACTCAATCAAAAGCAGTTACAATTGATGAAACTGGATTAGTAGAGAAAGAGGTGGAATTAAAATCCCCCATTCAACCAACCAGTAGAAGAGCCAAAGTTAAAAAGGACATCACTAAACAGAGATCTTTATCAATCGAAAGAGCTAGTGTCATGGAAAGTGAATCGTCTTTACCAAGTGATAAACAAGAATACCAACTTGCACAAGTTGATTTGACCCTTTTGGACACTGCAGCACAAACAGTTTCTTCGTCGCCCTTTGAATCCACCAAATTACTTACTGATCAGACTGATCAAGTTTCTTCTGCAGATTTACATATTGATGTTAACTCTGCAATAACAATCACCAGTGCCACAACAATACACCAAGAAACTTGTTTACCAGATATTGATAAACCAGACACAAAATCAGCTTCAGTTGATATAACACCTTTAACTGTTCCTGAAAAAAGATTAGAAATCGATGTTATGGAAACTGAAACTCCGGCATCTGATGATACTCCAGATTCTCATAAAATTGTACCAAAGGCACCAATAAGAGTAAAACATTCATTAATTATTACCAAAGGACAACCAATTGAAACAGAAAAGACAATTGAATCAAGTTCAATTGAAATGTCATCAACTAAAGTTGAAGTTACTCCAAGTTCATCTTTATTGATTACTCAAAGTCAGCCTTTAGAAACTGAAGTCAACATTGAAAAAAGTGAAAGCACAAGACAATTAGCATCAATTGGTTTATCAGATGAACAAAATAAACCATTAAGTGTTTCATCAACTGAAATTATAGAAACTGGATCAGATCTGAAACCCGAAATTACAACTACAGAAAAACCTAAAATTGGTTTTACAGAAAGTCATTCAATTGAAATAACATCAAAAACAATTGGTGAATCTGAAAAAGAATTGGCTATTCCAGTTGCACCTGAAAGAAAGAAAGGAACTAAAAAAGTGAATCTTAAAAAACAAAGATCAGTGTCGATAGAAAGACGTCAACTTGTTGATTCAGTAACACCAATAGTTAATGATGAAGCACCAAGGGATAAAGCAAAGGAATCGATTCTACCGAAAACTTCTAAGTCTCTTTCAATTTCTACAGTTGAAACAAACGAATCTACTGAGCTTGAAAAGCCTGTTGATACACAAATGGAGAGAGCAGAACAGCAACTAACTTCTTCAACAGCATTTACCGTAGGACTTGATGAATCTGTTGAGCGAGAAGGTGAACTTAAGATGCCAACGCAAGTTAAGGATCAGGTCACCGAAATTCATGACGATCTTCCTCGCAAAAGCTCAGTGATTGTGAGCAACTATCCTTTGATGGAGAAAGAAGGTACAGCGATAATTGACCAATTCAATAAATCACGTTTAGAGCCACAATCAATACAAGAAGCGATATCAGTGCCTTCAGTTAGTCAGATATCACCTTTTGAGACTGAAAAGTTACTATCAACCGAAATTCCTGACAGCAGTGAAGCACAGGCGAGTCTTACAATGAGCAGAGAACTAAATGTCGAGGACAATGAAATTGTTCAACAAGTTCTCCCATTGGATATCAATATTCGCCATCCTGGAGAAGCTTTGACTGACATTCCGACAATGATGATAGCTGAATCCCAAGTCACAATGCCTGCTGAGAAGGAATCAGAAATAAAAGAACCAGAACAAGAAACTAGAAAAATAAAGCCAAAGAAACCTTTAAAACCAATGCATTCTTTGGAGGTGCAAAGTGAAGAGCCTTTCGAGAAAGAAACTGATTTGGTTACTAAACTAACAACTGATTCTGCATCAGAAATGACACAATTGACACTCCGATCAGCTTTGACGGTTGCCACTCCAAGCTCATTGGAGGCATATCAAGATTCAGATATTGCAGATGTTTGCAAGCCAGAAGAAGCTGAATCAGTAAAAACTACACAAATAGTTGAATCGATAAACATCACAACAACACAACCTATTGAGACTACAACCGCAACTTCTGACGAAAAGATTGACTGGGAAGTTCCAACTGTGAGTCTATCCGTTAGTTCAGCAGCAACAATCACTGAAAAGATCGCTGGTGAAACTGAATCATCTTTGGAGAAGCAGCCCATTCCTGAAACAAAACAAGCGACAACAAAAACAGGTGACTTGAACAAAAGTCTGAATATTAATGCACAGCAACCTATTGAAACAGTTGGTGCCATTACATCAACACAGCAAACTGAACAAAAAGTGGTTTCTGATCTTGTGCCTGGTAAGGCCATTGTTATTTCGAGCAATGAAACGATAGAAAATATTGTAACATTAACAATTGAGAGTCCAGCAGTTCAAACGGTTTCCTCAGTTTTAAGTGAATCAATTCCATTGGAAGTCACAAGTAACGAAATAGTTCAATCTGAAGTAGAACTGGAAACAAAGACTCCAAATATACAGAAACCTTCGATGAGTGTTTCAACATCAGAAGCTATTCAGGTTTCATTAGAAGCTCAACTTAACTCTGAGGTGCCACTTGAAGAGCAAGAAGTGCCAAGATCAGCTCAAGCAACTGGCAAAGTCAAAGAGTTGGAACAAAGATCAATATCAATCGAAAAACGAGAAATACTAGAGAAAGAAGGCGATTTAAAAAGCGATAAACCGAAACTGGACAAATCTACTAAGCGTCGCAATTTGGTGAAGAAGCGCTCAGTCTCAATCGAAAGGCCGCAAATATTAGAGGCATCTGTTCCTTTAGATACTTCACTAGACAAAAGTATTCAAATAGAGCAAAAAGATATTCCTAAAAAATCTGTGATATGTCCTGAAGTGAGTCAACCATCAACTCTTGAATTTCCCAAGGCATTTGATCAAGAAACACCAGATAATATGCAAACAGCAGAAAGAAATTTTGAATCAAATCAAGCTATACAAATAGCCAGTCTTGATGCTTTGATTGAATCAAGTGGTATTGCTCCAGATAATGAAATACCCAACTCAGTTACAGGAGTAGTTGTAACAACAATAAATCAAGTTAATCCATTGATTATAGCACAAAAAGATTCCTTCGAACGTGAAGGTGAAGTTGAGTCAATTCCATCGGAAATCGCATCCGCTACTCTTGAACCAACAACCCGAACAACTGTTTCAGTAGCCTCACCTGAGACATTGGAAGCGGCTGAAAGAGTTGAAGTCTCTTTAGACCATTCAGCAACTGCTCAGAAAAGATTAACAACTGAGTCCAATCGATCAATAACTGTGTCTCAAGTACAAACAGTTGAAATAGGATCAGTTGTTGAAGAGAAACCATTAATACCAGTGATTCCAACGATCGGTTTAACTGAGAATCAAGCAGTTGAAATAGCATCAGCAACTCTTGGGGAAGTACCGGAATCATTGAAAACAAAGATGCCCAGAGAGAAACGCCTTGAAGGAAAGACTACTTTGAGAAAACAAAGATCTGCTTCCATCGAACGTCCCATTATTGTTGAAACAGTAGCTGATGTTGAAACAAAACCTGAAACATTAGATAAGGCCAAAGAGCAATTAGTACCAGAAAACTCGATTGCAATAACAACTCATCAAACAGTTGAAGGAGTAGAGGACATACAAGTTCAGGCTGCTATTATGACCGAGTCTGATTTCACACATGTTTCTCATCAGGCTATTGAAGTATCTGCACAACAATTCGTTCAATCTGAAGAACAATTATCAACAGCTTCTCCTGAAAAAGTAAAAGTGAAACCAATAATACCAGAAAATACAAAAACAGTTCACAAAACATATCAAAGTCAACCAATGGAATGCGAAGGCATTTTGGATATTGATGAAGTGAAAAAAGGAAAAGTTAAATCAACAATTGAAAGTGTTAAGCATCGATCAGCATCAATTGAAAGAAGACCAACTTATGAAAAAGAAGGCGAAATTTTGATTAAGCCATCAAATGAAGAAACGATAGATGCAACTATTGAACAAGCTGAAGCTGTGAAAGTTTCACAACACGATTTGATTGAGAAAGAAAGTGAATATGAAATGCCTGATGCACCACAATCAAGCAAAGTGACGATTAAAACGCCAATTGTTACTCAACAAGCAATGGAAATAACTGTTTCTATTCCCGGTGAAATGGAAGAAACCACTAAACCGGAAAAACCAGAAAGGAAAAAAGTTACAAAAAAGACAAATCTTAGAAAATTAAAATCAGTTTCAATTGAGAAACCAGAACTTTCTGAAAGTATTGTTCCAATAGAAACAACACAACAACCAACTAATCAAGCAGCTAAATCAATTGAATCTGATCAATCAATTATTGTTTCTGATAATCAAATAATTGAACAACCAACAGAATTGAATATTGAATATCCTGATGCTAAGCAAAGTTCATCAACATTAACTGAAAGAAATTTACATCATTTGGAGGTTTCACTCCAAGATATTGGAGTTAAAGAAAGTGAATTGGCTTTAGATAAACCTGATGAAAGTAATGCTGATATAAATATTTCACCATCAACTGCTATGATTGGTACTCAAGTAATTAGTAATGAGAAAGAAATTCCAATTGAAGTTGGTGTTGAAGCTAAGCCATCAATACAACCAGAATTTGAAGCTGAAATGAGAAAATTGAAATCAATTTCAATCGAGAAAAGAGAAACATTAGAAATGGAAGGAAAATTCGAGACACCTTTGCCTCGAAAAGAGAAATTATCAAAGAAAACTTCAATTTCTAAGAAAAGATCAGTTTCTATTGAAAGACCATTAGTTATGGAAAGTGAATCTTCAACTGATATACAAAGTCAACCTGAAATGAAACTAAAAGAAAGTAAAGTTGATTCAAAATCATCATTTGTAACAACAAACACACAACAAGAAAGTCTTGAAAGTGAATCACAATTAGATCAACCAATAATAAAATCAAGTCAAGCTGATAAATTGATTGAATCAATACCACAAGCTTTAACTGTTATAACAAGTGATGTTTCACAAGATGAAATACCTTTAGATTTACCAAAAGAGACAAGTTCATCTGCATCAATTGATATACCAACAATGATTGTTGCTGAATCACGAGTTGATCAAGTAATAGAGAAAGAAGATATTTCAACAATTGATGAAAATATTTCAAAACCAGAAAAAAAGAAAGTAAAAGTGAAACCAACAATACGATCAAAACAATCATTTGAAGTTATCCAAAAAGATTCATTCGAAAAAGAAAGTCCAATTGAAACTGATAAAACAGAAGTCGCTACACAAAAGCTTGAAGAAACTCCAAAAACAGTAGCAACAATTGAATCAAAACAATTGTTAGAATCTGAAGAATCTGTGCCAATAATGGATCAAAAACCTGAATCAGCTTCTGAATCGATTCCATTAATAAATCGAATCGCGCTTTCAGTAGAAAGTGCTAAATCTCTGGATAGCACACAACCAATTGAAGGTGCTACTAGTGATTTGAATAAAGCAACCATCAAAACTGAGGAAAAGTCAACTAAGCCTGTTACTATTTCAACAACTATTGCAGCTGAATCCGAGGCAGCTTTACAAACTGAGTCGATTGATATGCAAAAATCACAAGTTACTGTGACAGAAACTCACGCTTTAAAGATAACAACACAGGTTACAAACGAGATTGAAGGAATTTTGGCCGAAGATAAACCAATAACTCAACGAATTAAGAAGTCCGTTAGTTTCAAAGAACAGAAATCGCTATCAATAGAAAAGCCAACATCGTTGGAATCAACGAGCAATTTAGATCATTCCAAACAAGACGAAGACAAAGCAAGAAAGACAATGGACGAAGAGCAATCATTAAATGTAACGTTGGATCAACCCTACGATTCCATAGAAAAATTCCAAACTGAACAATCACCAGCAAAAACAGCTTCAACAGAAATTGTCGATTTGACAAACAAAGCGATTCAAATTTCTATACAAGAACCAGTAATGTCTGAAGAGAAAATGGATACGATCAAATCTGAAGAATCAATAGCTGAACTTAATTTAACTGAATCAGAAGCTGCTTCTGGAATAATTAGTCAACCAGTTGAATCTGAAGTTACATTAGATGTCGATTCTTTGCCTGAAAAAGTGAAACCAACAAAAACATTAACAAAGAAAAAATCAAGATCAATTTCAATTGAAAGAAAACAAAGTTATGAGAAAGAAGACAAACTCGATGTTGAGTTATGTAAACCAGAAAGTGCTAAGCCTGATATTAGTGATACTCAAGCAATATCAATTGGAATTGATGTTCCGATTGAAAAAGAAGAACAATTAAAAGAAGATGTTAAACCAGAGAAGAAAAAGGTTAAAGCAAAGAGACCTTTGAGTAAAACAAGATCAGCATCAATTGAAAGACCACAATTAATGGACAAAGAAGATGAATTTGATGTGAAAAAGCCGTTGGTCGTTACAGCAACAACATCAATGGTTCCTCAAAAGACGACTGAAAGTTCAACAGTCGATACATTGGAAAGTGAACAAGTTGCAATACCAATAGATGAAAGTCAAATTGCTGAGAAAACGGCAAAAATATCAACCGAAGCAAAATTATTAGAGAAAGTAAAATCATCTAAAAAACTGTTGACAATGATTGGTGAACCTGAAATTGAAAGACCAAAAATAGAACAAGAAATTGAAATTGAATCTAAAGGACGTAAACCAATTCGTAAAGAAATTATTCAAACGTTTAAAAAAGTTGGTGATAAAATAACATCCATTCAAGTTGAATCAACTCAATATGAAGATTCAATTGTTGATATTACTATGGAACAAGATAGCAGACAAGAAATTGATATTGAATCTAAAAAGAAAGGTGATTTATTCGTTGAAGAATTAACAACTGAATTTGGTGAATCACCAACTCCAACAACAACCAAAATGGAAGATTCTATCAGTATTGAATTACCTGAGGAAGACCAAGAAGTAATATCAAAAGAGAAAGATAAATCATCTGAATCAATCGAGATAATGCCTGATATGGATATTAAGGTTGAATCTAAAGGAAAGAAAGACAAGAAAAAGAAACCTAAATTCAGTGAAAGGTTTGAATCTGAAAGACCAATTTCTGATATTGAAAGTCCTGAAGAAGTCGTCACATTGCCAACAAAGAAACCAACTTCAAAGCCTGATTTCACTGAAAGATTTGAAATTGACCAGCCTGAAGAAAAAATGGACAACCTCATTGCAGAAGGTATAGAATCAATTGATAATGCTGAATCAAGCTTCACAATTAAAGCTCAGGAAAAGGTTCAAGGTAAGTTAAATGAATTTAAAGTACCGCAAATTAGTTCAGTAGAATTAGAAGAGAATTTAGTTTTAGATTCCAGTATCGAAAAATCAAGTGCATCAACTGGAGATGTTACGATTGAATTCAGTATAAAATTACCAACTGTTGAACAGAAATCGGACAAGTTAGATGAGTCTGTAAGTACTGATCTAAAAGAAACTGGGCAAACTTATGATGAGATCATAAAAATCCCGGGTCGTCGTGTTGTATTCAGAGCATCACGTCGAATGAGTAAAGTTGATTCAGAAGAAAGTGTGCAAGAAGAAAAACTAGAAGATTTCAAATCGAGTGAACAAATTGAAATGAGAAAAACAAGCGAAGAAAAAGAAGTAGAAAAGGTTGAAACTGAGACAAAAAAAGATTCTGTACAAGAGATAAGCATCACATCTAAAGGACAAAAGAAATCAGGAATTGTTATTGAATCAGAGCAAGTTGAAGCTGTGAAAGAGATCACAGAAACAACCATTGATGATGTTGTAAGAGAAGCAACGATACCAGAAAAGACCAAGAAAACAAAGAAAAAGGTCAAACCAAAAGAGAAACCCGAAGGTTTTAGATCGAGTGAACAAATCGAAATGGAAAAAGAGATTGAAGAAAAAGAAGCAGAAAAGGTTGAAATTGAAACTCAACCAGATTCCACTCAAGAAATAAGCATCACATCTAAAAGCAAGCAAAGATCAGAAATTAGAATCGAATCAGAGCAAATTGAAGCGATAAAAGACATCACTCAAACCACAATTCCTGATGGCGTAACGGATGCAACAGTATCAGATAAAATAAAGAAAACAAAGAAAAAGATTAAACCCAAAGAAAAACCAGAAGATTTCAAATCAAGTGAACAAATTGAGATGGACAAAGATCAAGATCAAGATCAAGAGATTTCTCAAGATGTATCCATAAGTTCAAAGGGTAAAGATAAATCAGAAATTCTTATTGAATCAGAAAATATTGAAGTTGAACGTGAACCTGTTCTGTTGATTGCACCTGTGGATGAAGAAGACAAACCAGATTTAGAAAGAAAAGATTCGATTGTAATTGAATCGGGTAAAACAGTGATAATTAAGAAGAAAATTCCAGGTGAAACAGTTACTTTCCATGTACCTGAAATCACACGTAAACCATCATTAATTGAAGAACCAATTTCATCAACAATGAAAATCGAAAAGACAACAATAGAGATTGAAAAACGCAAAAAGATTGAACAACCTGAACAAGTTGAACTTTCAACTGAAACAATAATGATAACTTCAGAAGCAAAAGAAATTGTTGATTCTGGTAAACGATTGGAAACGGATGAACATTTAGTTTTACCTAAAAAGCCAGAAGTATCAGCTAAGCCAAGTATCGTAACACAAGAAGCAATAGTAATTGCTGAAGGTACTATCGATGGGTCAACTAAATCATTAGAAACAAAAATTCCACAAGAAAAAGCTAGTGTTGATTTGACTCAATCAAAAGCAGTTACAATTGATGAAACTGGATTAGTAGAGAAAGAGGTGGAATTAAAATCCCCCATTCAACCAACCAGTAGAAGAGCCAAAGTTAAAAAGGACATCACTAAACAGAGATCTTTATCAATCGAAAGAGCTAGTGTCATGGAAAGTGAATCGTCTTTACCAAGTGATAAACAAGAATACCAACTTGCACAAGTTGATTTGACCCTTTTGGACACTGCAGCACAAACAGTTTCTTCGTCGCCCTTTGAATCCACCAAATTACTTACTGATCAGACTGATCAAGTTTCTTCTGCAGATTTACATATTGATGTTAACTCTGCAATAACAATCACCAGTGCCACAACAATACACCAAGAAACTTGTTTACCAGATATTGATAAACCAGACACAAAATCAGCTTCAGTTGATATAACACCTTTAACTGTTCCTGAAAAAAGATTAGAAATCGATGTTATGGAAACTGAAACTCCAAAATCTGATGATACTCCAGATTCTCATAAAATTGTACCAAAGGCACCAATAAGAGTAAAACATTCATTAATTATTACCAAGGGACAACCAATTGAAACAGAAAAGACAATTGAATCAAGTCCAATTGAAATTTCATCAACTAAACTTGAAGTTACTCCAAGTTCATCTTTATTGGTTACTCAAAGTCAACCTTTAGAAACTGAAGTGAACATTGAAACAAGTCAAAGCACAAAACAATTAGCATCAATTGGTTTATCAGATGAACAAAATAAACCATTAAGTGTTTCATCAACGGAAATTATAGAAACTGGATTAGATTTGAAACCCGAAATCACAGCTTCAGAAAAACCTAAAATTGGTTTTACAGAAAGTCATTCAATTGAAGTAACATCAAAAACAATTGGTGAATCTGAGAAAGAATTGGCTATTCCAGTTGCACCTGAAAGAAAAAAAGGAACAAAAAAAGTGAATCTTAAAAAACAAAGATCAGTGTCAATAGAAAGACGTCAACTTGTTGATTCAGTAGCACCAATAGTTGATGATGAAACACCAAGGGATAAAGCAAAGGAATCGATTCTCCCAAAAACTTCTAAATCTTTTTCAATAACCACGATTGAAACCATTGAAACAACAGCAGATCAGACTTCTCCAGAAGTTCCTGCTATTATGGTATCAACATCCATCACTCGTGATTCTATTGGAGATCGCATTCCACAGAAACCAAAGGAACATACAAAGCTGACAGAAAATCAGTCTTTAATTGTCGAGAAACATGACATTATCGAGAGTACTGATAATGTTGAATTGGTTACCAATCCTGAAGCTATTGCTACGGCCAAATTACCAACTCAGACTCCAATCATTGTTGCATCAAACTCTGCTATTGAACAGAGTGAAGCAATAAATGTTGAGCACCCGGAAGAGAGGAACGTCAAATCAGTTTTAGAAGACAGTTTGCATTCGTTGATCGTATCAAGTCCATTAGTTGGTACCAAAGAGTCTCAATTAGATAAAGTGAAGATTGATCAAGTTTCACCAGAGGTAACTTTAACGACGATAAATGCAGCATCAGCAAGTGAAAACCTTCCAGTAGAGAAAGAAGGCAAGATTGAGGAGCAACAATTCCCATCATCCAGAGCATCCGTCAAATCTGACATGAAAAAATTGAGGACAGCATCGGTAGAAAGAAGAGAAACATTAGAAATGGAAGGAAAATTGGAGACACCTTTGCCTCGAAAAGAGAAGTTATCAAAGAAAACTTCAATTTCCAAGAAAAGATCAGTTTCAATTGAAAGACCATTAGTTATGGAAAGTGAATCTTCAACTGACATACAAAGTCAACCTGAAATGAAACTAAAAGAAAGTAAAGTTGATTCAAAATCATCATTTGTAACAACAAACATACAACAAGAAAGTCTTGAAAGTGAATCACAATTAGATCAACCAATAGTAAAATCAAGTCAAGCTGATAAATTGATTGAATCAATACCACAAGCTTTAACTGTTATAACAAGTGATGTTTCACAAGATGAAATACCTTTAGATTTACCAAAAGAGACAAGTTCATCTGCATCAATTGATATACCAACAATGATTGTTGCTGAATCACGAGTTGATCAAGTAATAGAGAAAGAAGATATTTCAACAATTGATGAAAATATTTCAAAACCAGAAACAAAACGGGCCAAGGAAATAAAATCAGATCTAAAAAAGAGTCACTCCCTTGAAGCTAGTCAAGTGGAATCGTTAGTGAAGGAAAAGGACTTAGATGATGTCGTAATGGATTCCGCTCAAAGTAAACTCGAAGTAACTGGCAGAACTTTACCAGTTGTGACAAGCAGATGCATTTTAGAATCAAGTCCAGATCAACTGCCCACAGAATACGAGTCGGTTGTCATTAAAACTGAATTAATCGAGCAAGATAAAGTTTTAACAGTAACTTCGACAGATACAGTTGAACCCGTCAATGAATTGGTTTCTAAGCCAATGACTCCTCACACAACTCAATCAACTTTTACAGAGACTCAAGCCCTTTTAGTTTCAACTCAAATACCAAACGAAAGTGAACAACCTTTCGAATCAGGAGGGATATCTGAAGAAAGAACAGCTACACCATCCCTTCCTGTGGACAGGAATCATCATGGACTTGAGATTAGTTTCTCTACTGGTGAAATGAATGAACAGGAATTCATACCTGACAAACCAGATGAAATAAAACCTAAAATAGCAATGGACACAATTGAAACAACATTAGTAGATATTAGTCAGAAACTGGAAAGTGAAGGAAATTTACCTGAAAGTCAACATCCAAGTCAGGTTAAACCTGATAAGAAGACGATTCGCAAAAAGATGAGATCGATTTCAATTGAAAGAAAGCAAAGTTATGAGAAAGAAGACACACTCGATGTTGAATTATGTAAACCAGAAAGTGCTAAGCCTGATATAAGTGATACTCAGGCAATATCAATTGGAATTGATGTTCCAATTGAAAAAGAAGAACAATTAAAAGAAGATGTTAAACCAGAGAAGAAAAAGGTTAAAGCAAAGAGACCTTTGAGTAAAACAAGATCAGCATCAATTGAAAGACCACAACTAATGGACAAAGAAGATGAATTCACAGTCGAAAAACCTCCAATAGCTGCAGGTATTCCTTCCGTGGTCCCTCAAAGAACGGCAGAGAAAGAAGCAGTTGATTTGTTTGAAGGCGATTTCAGCGGTTTTACTTCAATAGCAGTATTTGGTAGAGTCGCTAAATATTCAACAGAAGTACAAGTATTTGGTGATGACTTAGAACGTGAAAAACCTGATGAACAGTTGATGAAAGCAGAATATATTCAAGTAACGCCAAAATTCAGCGACGAAATGCATTCAACAAGTGAGATTGTAACAATTGAACAGAAAGCGTTGACTGAGCAATCGTCAAAACCAGTTGTTACCCAAGAAGTTGAAATTGAATCAAAAGGACGTAAACCAATTCGTAAAGAAATTATTCAAACGTTTAAAAAAGTTGGTGATAAAATAACTTCCATTCAGGTTGAA